TCCACCTGCTCTCGGGCCTTTAATCGTAGAGAGTCATTGACGCGACATGAGAAGATACATGAGGAAAAGCCTTTCCGATGTCCTGCCTGTGGCCGTGCCTTTCGTGAAAGCACATCTCTGCTGAACCACGCGGCCTCAGGCACCTGCGGCAAGCCAGGCAGGGGGCCCAAACAACGAAGCAGCAAAATAGAAAGTGATGGTGAGAACAGAGGGGGTGGAGTTGGTAATGGAGGAGGGGGAACTTATCAAAGCAATATAAGGGGTATGTATGGGAAAACTGAAGAAGAAGGTGTAATTATTGTGGGGGAAGGAGAACCAAAATCAGGTTTAGGATGTGATAGTCTTTATCAATCTGGACGGGGAGGGAATTCAAATGACAGGGACAGAACTGATGGTAAATACCCCACTGACTACTCTCGGAATCGTTACACAGGCTACCACGATGACCACCGATCTCCAAGTAACCCATCTCCATGCTACTCTGGTGCCTCCCCCTGTGGGAGTGGGATGGCCGGCCCCGCTCTGAGAAAGGCACCCCTGGCACCAACTCTGCATCCACACACACAGAGCCACCCTCACCACCACCCGCAGCAACCGCCCCACCTGCCTCTGTCTTCTTTACTGGATGACTCTGAAGACGATGTCACTAGCTCTGTAAATCATGCTATCTCTGCTATTACTGCTGCTAATAGTGGCGGAACCAGAGGGGATGATAGGGGCGACATTATAGGGGGTCTTCTTGGTGGTCTTGGTTTAGGTCCTCTGGGTTCACCATCATCAACGACAATGGATAACAAAAATTACAGACCAGAGGCTATGAGCAGTACGCAAGATCCTATGGTCAAACCTAAACGACCCCGCAAACCCAGAGCCAAGAAAGAATCTTCGGCCAATGAAGACCCCTCAAAACATCGACAATACACCCAAAGAATGAGCACCAGCGGACTCCCACGCACCCATCTCTGTAGTGTTTGCGGTAAAGGTTTTGCACGCCGCGAGACTCTGCGAAGACATGATCGTATTCATACCGGTGAAAAACCCCATCATTGCACCGTCTGTGGCAAATATTTTAGAGAGGCCTTTCATTTAAGCAAACATCAAACTGTCCACTCTGGGGCAAAAAATTATAAATGCACCATATGTGGAAAGGAGTTTGGTTATTCGCAGAGTCTTCGTCGGCACGGCAAACTCCACCAAAAAGGTGAAAATGAAGAAGTACCAGCTACACCCAATACAGAAAATCTTAACAGCTTTAACCCAAATCCTCAGTGTAGCGTGGTCCCAGACAGGAGCCAAAATCAAGTCCCAAGCACCTCCTCCTATTACGCCTACTCTCAAGACGTCAAGCCTCAAGACACGCAACCCCCGTCCCATGCAGCGCCTCCTCCTCGGCTTTACACCTGTGCGATATGCTGGAAGTCTTTCCGGCATCATTTCCATTTGACCGCACACCACCAGACAGTTCACGATGGTGGGGGCGAAAAGGTCTTCTCATGTGAAGTATGCGGCAAGTCTTTCGCTTACTCTAACAGCCTCACCCGACATAAGCAATCCCAGCACGGCATAACCCGCAATGAATCGTCAAACCATCACGAAAACAGCAATCGATCCGGAAACAACCAAAATGTGAGCGATGTTAACCAGGCAACATCAGAAAATGAGGCAGCGACTAATGCATTGCTTCAAATTACACCTTCCTCTGAAACTCACGGAGGCCCGGGTTTGCCTGTCAGTCATAACCACCAGCAGCCTCCTCCACATCCACCAGCTGGCTACTCTCCTCTCTTTTATGACGCTTCATCCAATGCACCGAATTATTCACAGCCTCTGCCCCCAAACTCTACAATCATGCCCCCGCAACACCCCCACTCCCCTGCTGGCGTCAAAGGAGAGCACATTTACCCCGCGGGATCTCGTAGCCGCACGTTGCACACTACAGCCCCATTCCAGCCCCTCACAGAATTACCCTCAGCTGAACATCACCATCTGCATCACCATCCCCATCAACCCCACCTTCATCCTCATATGTCAAACACAGAGCTGCAACAACAAGCAGATTGCAGAATTGATTTGTCACAAGATAACGTAGGACGACACAAGAAGAGAAAGAAAAAGTGCAACAACAGGCAAGACTGGAGCGAAGGAAAATGGGAAGATACAGATAAACATGATGCCAAGAAAACTTCAAAAAAGACATGTTTTTCAGTCAGCGGGCAGCATCGTAGCAAAGGAGCCCTCAAACACAAGAAGGTTCGGAGGGTAAGAGGGCATAAACTCATGAACAGCGGAGAAATTAAAGCACTGTCCTCCCTCAAAGTTCCAGTGAAGCGTTTTGGTTGCCCGATATGCCCCAGTTCGGTGTTCTCACACAGAGCAGGGCTGCTAGTCCACACGGCAGCTAAGCACACGCAAAAGGTCTTGACCGGCCCAGACCGTCTGACCTGTCGTGTGTGTGGGAAACAGTCTGATGGACCAATGGCAGCCTTCATCCACCGGGCAAAGCATTGCTCCAGAGGGACTTTCTCTTGCCGAAACTGCCACCTTCGCTTCTGGAACGCTACACTTCTTCATAGGCACAAGAGGGCCTGTCGACGCACAGCTAAAGGCCTGCAGAAAACCAGTGTAAAGAAGATAGACAGATCAGAGACAGAAGGGGAACAAGGAGATGTGCAGGGCAACATATCGTTTTTATAGGGACCATATGATGAAAGTAAAGGGAGATTAGTGTTCTCCCATGAAATAGTGAGTGGGAGAAAAGAACTTTAAAGAATTGCCTCTAATCTGTTTCCTGGGTATTAGATTGAGTGTGTTAACAGCTACTGTAGATTCTCACCAGAAATTCTTCCAGATTATGGTGGAAGATATTTTAAGCCTTGACTGTTTCCTTTACCCCTAAGTGCATTGACACTGTGCTTGGCTGACACTGTGCAGTTAATAGAAACGTTTAGGAGAAATGACCTGCTAATAATGTATCCCCATAATAATAATAATAATAACAATAATAATAATAATAATAATAGAAATCTTGCTACACCTCTTGCTGTATGATAAGTGTTTCTGCTGTGTACTTTGTCTTGTTGTTCACTAGAAGCTGAGCACTTCACTGAAAATGTAAAGTGCATTTAGTAGGAGTAGGGACTTGGGGACAATACCTTTGATAGTATCTCAGTGCATGTTTGTTCTCTGGTGAAGTTTTTGAAGAGGTTGTGAATCATTCCAACATTATGTGCTGGTTTATTCAGTATTTCCCCAAGTTTACCCATGGTTTGACAAATCTATTGGGCTCTGCACTTATGTGTGATTTAATCACAAATTGTAATTCAAATTTAGACTATATAAGCATCTGCCAAAGTAAGAATAGTTACAGAAAGCCACGGCTTATTTCAATTTGGTTCATTTTGGTCAATTCTTTTATAAATGGGAGTGAGACAGGTCAAATAATGACGGTAATATTAATCTCATAATATGTTTATGAGAAATTATTTCTACAGTACTTTTGCGTGTGTTTTAAAACAAGGACCTATAATAGCAATGTAATAATCCATGTATTTATATGTGTGTAATCCAATCGATCCTCGCATCAATATAGGCTACTTAATCTCTTTTCTATTTGCTGAGTTCAATCATCCTCCTGTCTGTTATAGTTACTTTGTTTACATGTGTTCATACCATAATGCACCTTAGTTTATCTTCTAAGGACTAATTGGTTTAGTATGTTTCTATCACATTTATTTACTCAAAAGTCAGTAGTTGAATATATTTCTGCAATGAATAAACTTTAAATGTAATCATTTCTTTTGCTTTCATTTTGTATGAAACACTCTATAACAATAGCTACAATAGCACAATTCTGAAGGTATTGGTCATTGGTATTTTAGAATCAAAACCTTATATACCCAATTAAATGATTAAACTACAATACACCACAAGGTGGCGTTATTCAACTCACATGAACTCTTGGCTGGTTAGGAGAGCGTGCCAGTCACATGGAGGTGCAGTGATAGAGGCTGTGTGAGTGTTGTTTACTAGTAGCCCAGTTTTACTCTAGATAAAAGTATAGATTAAAAGGAATGCATCACTGATCTCACGGCAGTACCCTGAAAGATGAGATGTATGATACATATAAGTGGCCCCATTGAACTCTGTATTGGAAATACCTAGTTATTACGTGTCTAGCCAATAACAAGCTCTAAATGCCAGCATCAAAGTATAGGCACATGCGCTCAAATTACCCTCTTGTACTTCCAATGTTGGACTAAGTGGTAAATTTTAAACCTAAAAATGTGTCTGTCATTCACCTGCAATGGTGCACTCTGAACACAAAGCAGGGGTAAATTGTAGTGTCTTGGGGTACATGTGCTTTGCTGCTACAGTGGACAACAGCCTCGCGCTTGAATCGGTCTCACGCGGCAGTGGCATGCACAAGGAGAATCCGTGAAGGCGGGTCGGGTCGACCTATTTGTGGCCAATAGAGTCCTGTTGGAGGCGGAGTCTGGATAATACAAAGCCTATCAGAGCCAGAGCCGCGAGCGGACAGCCCTCGCTTCACCGTGCAGGGTACACGTGAGTGGGAACAGCTATTGTACACCGGGAGGCAACGTGCTGAAGCGTCCCTCATCCTGTGAAAACGATGCCCTCACGTTTTATTGGATTACCAAAAAGTACTGAAGCTATTTCACTAGCTCCTAAGCTAATAAAATAATGAAACACTTTAAAATGTAAGATGTAATTTAAGAAGAACATGCCAACTCTACAGTTAGTGTCTTATCATGATTATAATAAGTTGGAGTGTAATATCAAGTCTTTATCATAAACACAGATTTGATGGCGGGCCTCTGTGCTCTTGACATGAAACCAGTTGCAGATAGAGTTTGTCCCTGTCAGACTAAACAAACAGCCTGCTCCTCGAGGTGTGGCACGAGGGGTAGGTGTGTCCCATAAATAATAATCCCTTAGCCCCGCCCCTCTCGCGCTCGCCGCTTGTTCCGCGGGCCGTGACGTCAGGCGCTGTGCCCGTGTCCGCTCCAGCTGAGGCTCTGTGCTGAGAGGACGCTCAAACGCGGCCTCACCACAAACTCGAGCCCTTGCGCCCGTGACCGGATCCACCGGATGCAAAAAAGTACAGACAGAAAGAGGAAACGACCCCTCCTCCCTCGGCGCTCTGCAAAGCGCGACAGCACAGGAGCAGCACCAATACAACTTGTCATTTGACCAGCACGGCCACTGCTCTCGTGGTATGACTTTACTTGCGCAGTTCTTTTTCATTAGTTTGTTTTTAAATAGTCAATTTTCCAAACGTTTTAGAGGATCGTATTCAACGTGTTCACTACCAGATCAATTTTGCAGCATTGGTTCGTGTATTTTTGCACATCTTTTATTGCATTTTACTGCTGTTCCGTTTATTATGGACACTTCTGGTGTGACAGTCCCTCCCACCACCGCGCACGGGGAATAATCTGCACAACACTTTGAACTCTGCTGCCATGGAACACACGGATAAAAGTATTTCTACAAAGCGCTAAAGCTACACTCTTCAAAGGTAAACAGCGTTTATTATATATCTGTACTTTATAACTGCGTCATTAACGTAGTCTTATGCTTATTTCATTTCACTGTATTTTCCATGTACGCTCAAATTGATCTTTTTCCCTCTCACCACCCCCTCCCCTTTCGCTTGCCCTGCACACACAGCGTACTTGTCCTATTGGTAGATTCTCCAGTAAGTTTGCCTCGCCTCTTGAAGTGCTCCAGGTGTCCATATCTGCGGCCCATCTGCCCAGAGGATGTCCAGGCAGCTCGCGCAGCTCCCCCCCACGCCAGACCTCCCCGCTGGTGCAAGCCCGCAGTTTGGAAGTTGTTCTCAACCTGCAGGTGGCCAGCTCAACTCCATGGCAGGACTCAAATCTCTCTTGCAACACCCCATGAAGGGAGACCAGCGCATCAAGACCCCATGTGACTCGAAGGGTAATTACAACAACAGCTTCATTTTTTAGAATACTGGTTTAGGCGTTTTTATTATTACTATGGCATACCATTAGGGCTGGGCGATATGCCAAAAAATGAGTCATGATTTATTCCTCATATGTAACAATCTATTATTTGGTTTCAGTTTATTTTTGTATTATAAAAATAACTCTCAGTACATATTTTCTGATTTATCAAATTGTCTCAACTCTTCTTCAAAACCACATGCTTTTAATGATAGATTATCTGTGGACCACTTGATTAAAAACACTCAAGCACTTGATAATTAGAGGTGACAGGATCTCAATCTTGATTAAAAATTGATTAGTTACACAGGCTATAACATAGTGGTAGCCAGAGCACTTTTGTACTGCAATCAAACCAGCTTCATCCTGTGATTGGTGGATTCTGATAGTTTATGTTGTAATTAGTTTTCAGATTATGTCTTCTTCAGTGCTCGTCTACAGGCACGTGTTTGAGTACTTTTGCAGTTTTCTCAAATCTTGACATATGCAGCACGGTCCCAGCTTTTGTTTAATTCCACAGTTTAGCTTCCATCTGGCCCATCTGTGAATCTGCATAAGACAGAAAGGGACATCCACCTGTTTCCATGCAATAGATTATGAAGTTACATTTCATATCTAAACATTGTGTTGTTTTTACAGATAAAGACAGATCACTGGAATTGGATGTGGATTCGTTGTGCAGTATGAGGAGTGGAAGTGGACTATCTGGCAGTAATAACAACAGTAATAGCTGTGGAGGAGGTGGAGGAGGAGGTGGAAATTTCAACCAGTTCTTGGGGCCTCTCTTGTGGGATCGCACGCTGCCTGCCGATGGGGGCCTCTTTCAGCTTCAGTACATGGACTTAGAGGAGTTTTTGACCGAAAACGGGATGGGGAGCGGGCACAGCAACAACAATAGCTCCAGTGCTGCTCAAATACCATCGCAAAGTCCCCAATCAGCTGTGCCCAATCAGAGTTCCCAGTGCCTACCGCCCTCCTCCCCTCCTTGCTCCACGTCCTCCTCACCCTCATCTCACCCCTCGTCTTCACCCTCTCTCATCGGCCTGGAAGTCGCCCAAGGTGTCACCGGAGGAAGCGGCGACTGTTTGCATGGTGAGTTACATTTACAGCCACCATTTTCTACCTGACTGCTTCAACAGAAGGCTAAGAAATGACTAAGGCAAGCACAGAGCTGGGCATTCAAACCAAGGTTCCTCCAACACAAAACAATGAAAATTCTGGTGAAGTTGACAAACCAAAAGAGACATGCTGTTCCCTGTGGCTGATACGAAAACCAGCAGGGCCCCAAACTCAATAAAAGTTCAGCCACAATCAAGGTTATGTGGTCGTTCCAGCAAAATAATGATTCAGCAATTTACCACTGCTGTGAGTTTAAAAACATGACAAGCCAATATATTATCGCTCCCTTTGAACGTGCCTGAAATCCTTGGAATTTTTTTTGCTTAGTCAAATCTAAACTGTATGGTTCTAATATAAAAGTTAAATCATTAGAATTTCAGACACATCAACAAACCACTTGAGGCCGTGTTTATAGGACCAAAGTTTTGTTTTTACTTTGGCCTTTGCTATCTAATCACTTCTAGGCAAGCGAAAGGCAATTATTAATATTGTGCTGGCCGAATCAAAACATTGCCAAGAGAGAGAGAGGCTAGAGTGTGTTGAGTTGCGTGTCTTTAAATCTCTCCCTGCTTCACACGCCACAGCCATGTGCACGCGTCGGGACACGTGCGGAGGAGAGCCAGGGAACAGGGGCGGGGCTACGGGGCGAGAGGGAGGAGTGTACAGGGAGAGAGATGAATACAGAAACAGGAAGAAGCTGGTTTTTGCAGCTCCTGGACTGCACACTAATGATTTCAATACACTCATTACAGGACTATTACCATCATTTAATATCTTACTGATTGTTGATTTAATTATTATTTACCCAGAAAAGCTATATTAAGATCTATTTTCAAGGGAAGTCTTGTCAAGAGGCAAATATCAACACTATCTGGACCCACATTTATAAACATTTATGACAAAACAGACAATAAAATGAAAACTACAGTAGAAAATATTTATAATTGTCAATAATATATGTCCAAAAATCCTATTTACTAAGCCTATTAGACCTTATTATTACTTTATTGTTATTATCACTTCTATTTCTTCCTATAATAATGTAGAATTTAGAAAGTTGGTTTCTTGGGAAAGGTTATTCTAAAGGTTATTTGACATGTGATGAAGTTCTGTGTTTTTCTAGCTTAAAAAAACACAAGACTATATGAAATGGATCCTGCAGTCTGCACACATAAGCCAGTCTGAGCTGCTTACACTAGTTAGTTTAGGCCCTTTACGCGATATAAATAATTGAAGTGTTCTGGTTTGGTGTTACACAGAGAGGTGGAAGTGGACAGAGCAGACATAGCTGTGTTTGATTTTTGGGAAATGTTGGATACTGTGTAATCCATTTGTCAGTTACAGAGACATGGTCCTTTCCAATTGTGGGAATTTGTTGACTGGTTTGGAACCTTGTGTTTTCTTTTTGTGTGACAGCCATTGTTATGCAGATATTACTCATGTGATACAATGCTACCTCATTTACTGAAGCTTGTGACCTGTTATAAGGTGGCAATTTGACAGTACACTTTGTTTTCCCTGTAATAATAGGAAATAGCTACATTTTTGCACCTTAAATATAGTTTCAAAATGAGCTATACGCTTTTATTAGTTTCCAAATCACTCATAAACGTAATATTTAGCTTGTTCTGATTGTAAACTACAGAACACACAAGTTGCAAGGGACTGTGATTGCTGTGCATTGCCATTGTCAGCCTGTGTACATATGACATTACTTTGCTATTTTGAGGTTATGATTCAGAAAGTGTGTTTGAAAAGTATAAACCAAAGGAGGGTGTGTAAAGGCTACGGCCAGGCCACACACAGTCACCAAAGCTACAGTCAAAATCATATATAGGAGAGATGAGGAGCTGGTTGGTTAAGACACTCCGTTGCATACAGTTCTCTAATGTATAGCCCTATACTGGCCTCACTTGCAGGAACTGGTTTAAAGGGGAGGGGAAGACGTTACATAACATTATCCCATATATGTCTTGTATGTGTTCAGTCTTGTGTATGTTAAAATAAGTTCTGAATGTAACTTTGCATGTCCTGAAAATGGTTACTTAACACGTCAAATCCTAAAGCAGAAAATTTGATAATATGAAATAGTTGTGCTTTTCCTGTAAACAGAGTTTTACGGTTATGATTGAATTGCATAACGTTAAGATTTACTAATAGCACATTAGTATCACACATTAACATCTAAGCCTCTATTTTCATGTGGTTTCTTTTTTAGGACTGTTTTGGAAATGTCCTCAGTTTTTTCAATCAGTTAAGACCATGGTTGGGGCAGAGGAATGTTGTTTGTTGCTCCTTGAGAAAGAAGCAACCCTCTGCTGCCACCTACTGGTCAAACCTCAGTATAAGTCTTGAGTTAAAGTGTATAGTTACAGTGCATAGTCTAATGATTACTTGGTTCGGTGAGGTAGTACCTGACTGTGGTAAATATTTATCATAGTTTTACATCCATTCAGTGGTAGTTGGTGGAAAAATTAGCAAAAAGTACAAAAGTGCAAAAACACAGGAAGTAGCACTGTGTTCTAAAACTTAATCTCTTAATTCTTATCTCATCAACATCGAAAAATTCGATCCTAAATGTAGGGACACAGCTTATTTTTGACAGTTTAAACCTTCAACAAAATAATGGTGTTATCTATTTTTATTAGTCTAATCATAACTATCCTTGTTAACATTACAGTTGCTAGGTAACAGAACTAGAATTGCCTTTATGTCATATCTGCAGCCTGTGTCCACGTAAAATTATAAACTAAAACAAAACTAGGCAAGATTTGTGGTAAAATCTTAAATACTACTATAATATTCACCATGTTTTAGTGAAAAAGTCCTTTAGTCTGTCATATGCACTTGAAGTTGATGTATTGTGTGTATTTTTTTTTGTTTGTGATTCTTAGGGAGCCAGTCCAGTATTGGTGAATCGTGTGAGTCCCCCTCCTCCTCCTCTTCCTCCTCATGCCCCCCTCTCCTGACGCCCACGGGGAGCGGGCCGGATGTGATGGGGATGTTCGACATGGAGGGCTCAGAGATGGACATGTCCGAAGGCTCACAGCAGTCCTTTGACCCACGGAGGCATTCGTTCAGCGAAGAGGAGCTTAAGCCACAGCCGATGATCAAGAAGGCCCGCAAGATCTTGGTGCCAGATAACCTAAAGGTAAGCATAAAGGGTCTTCATTATTTCTATTGACATTTTATTGTTATTCTTATTAGGTAAAATAAAGTTTCAAGTTTCCCGATTGTCAGTATAAGGACTCTATGTGGAGGACCCCCTCAAAAATGAGATGCTTCATCTGAAGGGGTTTATCCTCTTATTAAAATAAATGTCAACGATCGTCTCCATGGAGATGTTATTACTTTGCTAAGAATATTATTCCACCAGGCCATGTTACAGGTCAAATGTGTGGAAAGTTGATTTTATAAGGTAATAGTAAAAAGAAATTAATGAATAAATGGAAAATAGATATGTTTAATGATATACTGAGGAACATTCCCAGTAAAGCAGTAACATCTCTGACTGACTTCCACCAGAAAATTAACATATTGCACCTTATACACCTTATGCAAGTATTATGGTAATTAATTAGGTATAAGTCAGTGTATTATTATCTTATAGTATAAAATAACTAATAATGGAAAAAACTTTCAGTGTAAGCCATTTAAGAGATAATAATCATTTTCAGTTAACTAAACTATTAAAAAGTTAACTCATGGTGAAATGAACGTTTAATCATTGGTACATTTTGTGGCCATTACATACTTGCATAGTACTGAGTAGTAAGTAGTTATATTCTTGATTATATTGATTAGAGCTGTGCAATTAATCAAATTTTAATCAGGAAAGAGATTCAGTAACTTGTAATCGTCAGTGATTAGCCTGGACCTTTTTAATCAAGAGGTCTATAGCCAATCTTCTGTCAGTGAAATCATGTGATTCAGACTTTGGAGGAAGAAATTTGACTTTTTTATATATATTATATGGCAATAATTAAAAGTCTGTAAGTTTTTTTAAAATAAGAAAAAAATTAGAAAAATATGAATATGGGGGGAAAAAAAGGAAAAAAAAAATATCATGATACAGTTTTTGTCAAATCATCGCCCCTGATATTGACTATAGCTGTTTACGAAATGAATCTACATCAAATTGTGTATTTTTTTTTTCAGGATGAGAAGTACTGGACCAGGCGATACAAAAACAACGAAGCGGCCAAGCGTTCCCGAGATGCCCGGCGCCTGAAAGAGAATCAGATATCTGTGCGTGCCGCGTACCTGGAGAGGGAAAACGCCGCGCTCAGACAAGAGGTGGCAGAGATGCGGAAAGAGCTCGGCCGCTGCCGCAACATCCTCAGCAAATACGAGAACCGCCTGGCCGACCAGTGAGAGGTGCTACAACAGGAGCAGGAACAAGCTTGATTCAGTCTGGAACATTATACTTTGGTGAATCAATGGACTAATAAATGAGGGGATGATGATGATGAAGATGTTGAATGTATCAGAGGAGATCATTTATTGAAGCTCAGGTGTCTTGTTTTGTCAACTCTTAAAAACGCAAACAGATAGAAAGAATAATTTAACCGGTGAAAGATGTGACTTTTAAGAGTTTTGTTATTGGAAAATGTATATTTTTATAATACTTCAGAATAATTAGCGGGAGAGCCAATTTGAAGAGTAATTTTGTATATTTTCTACATGACGGGGGCATAGTGAGGGATATACTACGGTAAATATCTTTTAGTATAGTTGATTCAGGAGCTGATTAGCCATGGAGTGTATTTTGGAACATTCTTTGTGAGTCAGAAGGCTACGGCAGGGTTGAGGATGCAATTAACATTTGTAATATAGACAGCAAAATGATGTTTAAACTGTTTAGATGCACATTTTGTTGATTTGACGTAAGCACTTAACTTTTCTTGCTCCTTTCCTGTCATCTGGATTGAGTGTGTTTTGGCAAGGGGAGATGTTGTGTGTACAATCCAACACTATTATATTATTAGATTGACCAGTCAGTGTTTTTGTCATTAAATTTTAACCACCAACTCATAACAACATTTACAAATAATTTTATTCAAGAGTGGTACATTTTAAATCCAATATTACTTATAATTCTTGTATCTCAAACATAAAACCTGTTGAGATTCCCCTGATTTTAGTCCATATACAATTTTCAGTTTCTTGATGCTCTTTCCCCATTGTTTTTTTGGTTTAAGGGTTTGTCAGTGTTGTATCAATTTCTGCAATCCTGATTTTCCATTTACGGATTTTTACTGTTTTAATTATCTACATGAGATTGAATATTGTGTGTATTTTGGGCCTACTCTTTCTGTATATTTATATTCCAAGACCTGGGTTTATTCTTCCCGGCGACTGGAATAGACTTCAATTCTCAAATTCCTGTGAGAGACTAAAGCCAAAAGTTCCTATACTATTGTTCCACAGCTTGTTGCTACCTATAAAGCTATTTTTTCAGTACATTGTAATTGATATATACTTTATACTGTATGTATAAGCTTGACCTGCACAGGGCCTGGTACACTATGTCATGTTCAGTGGGAGGGATGTGTGATTTGAATCCCTATGTTGAACAATTACTGCTAATATCATTGTTATGGTTAATTAAGTTCCCTTTTAAATGTTGCTATTCTGTATTAGCCTTTTCTTTCTTAGGATTGCAAACCAGATCTGCAGAAAGACTTTAAATGGGAAAGTTCATATTCTTTGGTGTATTCCTAACGTAACTTACCTAAACATTCAGTACTTTGCCACCCAGGATGGTGACACACGTGGCACTAGTTTGAGACTTTCGTTGGTCGTGTATGGAGTATGCACGTGCACACTATCAGATTTGTTTTCCCTCAGCCCTCATCCAGTGATCGTTGGCCCCCCCTGCAGGATCCAGCCTCTCATGTCCTCACAGATGTGGTTGATGATGACTCTTGTTGTGATCTCTAATTGAACTACAACTGTCCTGCTGTATCAGTGGTGTCAGTGGTGCCCAGTCCGTGTAATACTGGGCATCTGGATGTAGTTCAGATTTTCCCTAAAAACACCAATAAAAGATTGTTCTCATTCACTGGAGTTGGTTTTATTTACAGGGTGGAAAGAATCACAAGCAGTGCAGAGTGGAAAATAACTAATTACGAATGTTCACATTACTGTAATTTATAACGTACCTTTTTGAGTAGATTTTAAACATGTTATTCATTTCAGTTCAATTCAAAAACAAATATCCATTTAACTTTGTACTTTTCTTCTCAGAGTACTTTGGTTGTAGTATTTGCTTAGTAAATCAAATTAACGGCACGTCTTAAGTCGACTAAGTCTCTTGAGTCGACTACAGCCCTAATGTAGTTGTAATGTAGTTTTGTAATAATGTAATTGTAACTAAATTAATACTGATACTAATACTTCTAATAATAGAGTGCCATTGTCTTAATATAGGCTGATTGTACTTTACTAAATTGAAAATCACGACTTACTGAAACTGAAAACAGCACAAGTCTCAGTCATCTCAATACAGGGCAGTCTCACTGCCTTTTTCTTTCTGTACAAACGCACATACCAGTACTGATTGGCCAAAGCCCAGCAAATATTCAGACTACAGTTTTAAATATGTTGACTCATCTTTGAACTATTTTATTAATCTGGGTGTGTATAAAAGAATGATCTGTACCAGTGCTTCTCATATTGTGGTCCAGCTCCTTCAGGTGGTACTTGGACAGCTCTTCAGTTTGTGGGTTTGTCTAACTTCGTGTTCATTTTATCCACTTTTGTGTCCTCCTTTGTATAACTTCTTGTTTAGAATTACAGTGGAATCATGTAGTCCACTTTTAGACCTGGTTTAGCACCATTTTAGACCTGGAATAGTCCTGTTATACTTGATTTAGATCTAACTCAGAAAGCCAAATCTTTGGTGGTACTTGGTGTGAAAGGTTTTAAAGCCACTGATGTATACTCTGAATACTCTGTACTAAAGTTGCTTTAAAGAGTAACTTACTATCACGTTGAGCAGTTTTTTCATGCATCCTTTTTTACTTTTTCTTAAATACAGTTTGTGAGACCTTGTATGTGTAATTAAGTACTTTTTAGTCATGTAACTGTACGCATACACATTTATACTGTTTATTTGAGAAACGCGTTCACAGAGCCAATTTTTTTTTGGTCCAAATTAAGTGAAAGATCACCAGACGATTTGTCCTGATAGCGTCAATGTTTGGCCAAATTGTAATCATTCCTCCATAGACCAAATCCGTTTATTAAGGTTTATTCTCATGGACTTCCAGTCACAATCTTGCTCATGACATTAAAATAGTCTGTATTTACTGAAGTGTGGTCATAACTAAGATAATGCTTACGAGAAACATAAACTGGAAAAAGCCACCGTTTCACTCCGATGCCAATCGAGTAGTTCACATTTAATGCAGACACGCCATCAGGGATTTGTGATTATTTGTTTTGTGTTTATTTGGTTGTTTCTTTCTGTTTCGTGTATGTGTGGTCCCCAGGACCACAACCACATCAGCTCATTTATCATATTCTGGACAAATTGGGTAAAAGGTCCTCTCTTATTGCGAGATTTTTTTTTCTAATTCATTGCTTTTCAACATGAACCAGATGTGTGCTCCTGGGCTGCACTCTCCCACCCCTCACTCCCACCCCTTACCCCCAGCCCACCCCTCCACCCCCTCACAGCTCAGCACCCTTAAAAGTGCTGCCTGTGCTGTCCCTCCTTCAGACTGACTAACTGTGAGGATGGATAGTGTCCTGCTGCTGTTGTCCCTGTGGGCTCTGGTGGGGAGTGCGTCTCTGCAGACTGTAGGTAAGTGCATTACACCTGGAACCACACACTGCAGGTGAGTCTTTTACAGTCTTGTACAGACCACAGGTGTGGGCCACACTGACTCAGTGGTTAGAGCAGTGGTCCCTCAACCCAAAGGCTAGAGGATCTATTCCTGCTCAGACCAAGTAATGTTGTTGTGTCCTTAGGCAAGACACTTCACTCACCTAAATATAAAAGTACTGTGTGCATATGTGTTGGTGAGGCTGGAGGGTTAGAGGAGCTGATGTGTGTGTATGTATGTGAGGACTGAATGAATAATGCGTTCTGAAGAGCTTTAGGTGTCTTGAAACATGCTTAATAAATCCAACGGTCATGAACGGTCACATTTTTATACAGCGCTTTCCACCTTCAAGGCACTCAAAGCGCTCCAGTGCATTTTTATGATTGTTCCATACACGCTGCAGGTGAGTCTATTACACCTGTGTATATATAAAAGCATATCCCAGTGCGCCTCTGCTTCCGGACTAATGAGCGCTGACCTTTGCCTCGGCTTTCTCTTCAATTAACATAGTGAGTGCACAGTTGGCCTCCAGCGCAGAGCAGACGGTCACATGACCAGGTGCACGGGATGTCCTGGGCCCTCTGCTGCTGCATGTGTGTAGAGCAGGTCACATGTACCGTACTGTTTCACACATGTTTTCATTCTGAGAAGTGAAGGATGGCGCCCGGTCCCCCTTAGGCTCCCTCCTCACAAATGTTCTGGACATTAAGGGTGTGTCTGCATGTACATGTACTGTGTGATGGAGCACATATGGAAAAGCTTCAGACTGTTCAAGGAATAGACAAGATCTCGCAAACTCGTCTCTTTTCTCAAAAATACCAAATGCCCTTTGACCTCTTGGAATGGCCTGAGCTGGCTGACCACCCACACTGACCTGAGTGTACCAGAAACAGGAAACAAAGCAGAATTGGGGCACTAAATGTCATTGTTGGTTTACAGCTTCACCAGGGGGTCCTCTGTGCTTTTGTAACTGTATGTGTGTGGTACCTCTGCAGAGTAGACATGTCAAGATTGTTAGGTTAATCAAAAATAGTGATTATCAGCGGCCACAAAATCATAATATACTTATAAGAACTAAAAATATTAACAATTTTAGAAGCAGATTTACTATTTCCATTCAACCTCTACTCCTAATCCTTACACTAAAATTGTGTACCGTGGCATCTTCTGTCTGGAGAGGCTGTTGTAACTCTCTGTGTGTGGTATCTGTGCAGGCCCATGTCCAGATAGGCTGTTGGGGCAGGAGAGGAGGAAGACTTGCCCCCGACCCTGCACACTGGATCGAGACTGTGGCAGCAAGCGCCAGTGTCTGTGTGACGGCCAGTGTGGGCTCAGCTGTGTGGCTCCAGGTATTGTCTGTGGGAGTGTTGTCTCAGGCCTCATTAAACTGTTTGTGTTTGTGCTCACAGCTGTGCCAACATACATCTGTGTGGGCCTTCACCAGGGAAATACAACAAGCTCCCAAATGCACCACGTGTGAGGGAGCTCTCTGCCAAAGCTCCTTATAACAGTCATTTTATTATTGCGTGAAAAGGGTAATTCTCAGAGACTGGAGCGATTGCTATACGGCCTCGTTAGCGCTCTTTTTTATGTGTTTTCAGTTCACAACATTTTAAAGACCCTATAGTTTAAAATTTAAGCAGAAAGCAATTGTTAAAATGCAGATGTTTTGACCTAGTTTATTCATATTTCTGTAATTACTAGGTCTAATTATTATTCCGTAAACAGAGATGCGTAGAAAAAACAATTATTTTACTCAAGTACTTGAGTATCATTAGTTTACTTAAGTACAAATCAGTCGTCCAAGAACACTGTAAACCCAAATGTTCAAGGTAGTTACACAGTTTAAGTAGTGTATATTCAAAGTTTTAGAAATAGTCCTACTAACTTGATTATGTCAAGTTGCTGTAACATGTTCTTTTGAAATAAACTTAATTTATATAGTACATGCTAAAATACAAAACAATTTCAAAGCACTTCACCAAATAAATACTAAAATGTATCACAACAAATAGATTATTTTTAACTCATAATAAATGAAAATAACTGAACTGAGTTGCCTTAAGAGAAAACTACGAGGCATATTAACTACAAATAAAAAAAAAAAAATCAACTTGAAATAATCGAGGCAATCGATTGCCTCAATTATTTTGAGTTCTGATAACTTATTCAGGTTTACTGTGAACTAAGTAAAAGAGAGACAATTTCTGACATAACTGGTTTATCATGTAGTATTTTTAAATGGATGACAAAAATCTGGTAAGGTGTAAGAAACACAAATGTTCAAGTGTTTTAGACACACTCACAGTGGAAAGATGCCCAAAACTTTCACCCAGGTAAGAGTAGATCTGCTGTTTCATTCAGTATATGGTGCTATAGAAAACTATACCAAAAAGAAAACAAACAACCTCTGTATTTAATGAACAAATAAAAAAAAAAAATCTAATCTAAGCCACCATGCAATTTGCCTAGATGACAAATTGATGCATTTCACAATATTCTGTTTGGAAATTGCTTTCAAAAAATTATTATTACTAGTACAATTACTGTTATTATTAGGCCCCACTGTGACGATTTGCTATTTTGGTGATTCAGTTTGTTTCTGTTTCATGCAGTTTTAGTGCACCAACTTCTCCTATTGGTCAGACTCTGTTATGCTCTGAGTGAGTGACAGATGGATTTGACCAATCATAGTCAAATATGAGAGCTCAGAAGCTGTAGATGACTTTAGTTACATCTTGACACTGACTGAATTGTGATTGGAACTGCAATAAAATCAAAAGAGTATATACAGTATATCTCAGATTCCACAAAGTCATCCTTGTAAAGTGAAAAGAAACAGTCTGTTCTCAGCAGTGTTCCTTGGTCACAGCTTTTTGTTTGTTATTTGTGTTTTCTACAGGCCGGACATGTCCTTGGCCTCTCCCTGTGGCAGAGAACACTGAGGTGCGCCTGCTGTCTCCCACTCACTCCTTCTCCGCTCTGCTCGAGGTGCGCTGCAAACCCGGCTTTGCTCTGTCCAGCGGCTTGGATGCCATTATTCGCCGTTGCCAAGGTGACAGACAGTGGAGCGGGGACGAGCCCACTTGCACAGGTACAAACGCTGGTTAAATCACAAAATATACTGCCTATTTTAAAACTGTGTAACTTATTATTGCTTTGCTCTACAGTCTGACACATTTATTCAGTTTTAGATAGGCAATATTTTATTCTTAAATTCCTTCCAAAAACATTCTTATTGTGAGGACACTTGCCTTACCACAGATCTGACCTGGCTGTAACTTGGCCTAGTGGTGTCTTCTGTTCATCTCTGTGGAAATAGATAAGTTTCATGTCATAGCAATAATATCTCATGGTGACAGACTCTACCAGAAAAGTTACACAGTGGAACTTCAAGTGGTATGACCCATGCTGCTTTCAAAACAGACCACTTAATCAAACCATATTTCATAATTTGGCTTTTAAAGGGTTTTGGAGATATAGACAGACTAATAATAAATGAAACAAAACTCCAGGTATGTTTTTTGAGGAGGTAACAACATTTAACATGGCTTAAAGTGTCAGATTTGTGTAATATTGGACCTTTAAATACTGCACTTCATCACTATTGAAAGTTATTTTATTAACTTATCTCATTTCAGGTCTTGTAGTTATACATACAGTATGTTTTCAGTCTATACAGTCATCGCATCCATTCATTACAACCCAAGACACAGGCTGAATAAACTTTTTTTAAATGCTGTTTCACTTTAACACCTCTAATAATCGCCCAGTATAGATTTTACTGAGAAGTAGAGACTGTGTGCATGTTGCCCATTGATTGTGCCACAAGGAAATGAATAATTTTCACAGTGAAACTCCAGAGTGCTGGATGAGAAACTGCAGAGCCGGGACACTCATCCTGTTGTCATAGCAACTAGGGAAATAGTAAAAATGGTGATAAAACACATAAATTTGGCACAAATCTAGACAATATAATTTTAGCTTGTTTCAATGAAATAATAAGAACATTGAGTCCGGGCACTCAAAGGAAAATCACTTTGCTTTTTTGAGTTGAACTCCAAATGAATGATGGTTACTTAGTGGTTAGAGTGTTCGCCCAGCAACAAAAGTATGTACTAATGTTATACTCTGGAACATTCTTGGTAAAGCAATAACATCTCCTGGAGACAAGCAGATGGTAGAAAGTTATAGAGTGTACCTTTTAGATATTTTGCTCACAAGCTCAGCACAGATGCTCAGTCTCTCTTCAGTCAGGCTGTATAGCAACAGTGACAGTACATAACAGCACGTCTCTTACTTGAATTAAACTCTATTAGAAACACTTTACAAAAGTATAAGCAGTTATCATGGGCTTTCACTGAAAAATCATTAAAACTAAATAAAGACTTTTCATAATACTGCTAACACAAGACTCACTGAGGCCTCCTGCTGTTAAACATTACCTCTCACAATAGTTACAATAGATACAGGTCTGTACAGTCCTCATTGCCTCAGATGGGGAGTAATTAGTTACAGTTACTTTTCGTACTTTTCAGACACCATCCTTGTACACAAATATTTTTATGAAGTAAGCAAAAATGTTTCGCTTTATATTAACAATATAACTTTGACACCACCATTCAATATTACTTGAAGTATCAGTACTTTTACTTGAGTACAGATTTTTGCTGCTCTACCCACCTCTGCTCTCTGCTTGAGTCTGTCAGTATTTATAAAATAAGGTCTTGTTTTTATTTCTTTTCTCACACACTGAGAGCAAAAGTACACACACTTTTTAGAGCCTGTGGGGTCCCAGCCTCCCCATGATTCCTCTCTGTTAAAAATAAAGGGACTGTGCTACGCTGAGCTGTATAGGCAAAATATTATCATCTACAAGACGAAAACTTCTCACAAACTATAGGACAGGTGCATAAGAGGACGCATACAGTGTTAGGAAAACTACAAATCTCCCACATCCGGTCTTGCTGCATCATCACTGATTTGCCTAAAGACTTTGCCTAAAGGTGCAATATGTAACTTTTCTGGTGGATGGTCAGCCACCTGCTTGTCTCTGTGGATTTATTACTGTATTGCCTGAAATGTTCCAAAGTATGACAGTAACTTATTTGATGTCTCCATGGAGACAAGCTAGTGATGCCACTGGATCAACTCACAGGTTAGATCTGTGGAGAGGCAACATCGCTCACAGCAAGAATGCTTAAAGTATTTTAAACCATTAATACACATGTAATTGACTATATAACCAACAAAACAATAAGTCATGCACCTGTTACTAGAATAGTTACATAGTGCAGCTTTAAAAAAGTTAGAATGCATTTCTTTTATTTATACATTTGCGCTGTAGAAAATAAAATCCTCTTATTGCAAGGACTACAACATCAAAAGCACAATTGAGAATATCCCCGGTCTCCCCTCGCGATTCTTCTCGATTAAAAAGAAAATACACAGCGAATAGTGATGGATGTGAGCTGTACTGCGAGACAGGCAGGAGGTGGGTGGATTTCATTGTGTGAGTGGAGTCCTATAGGCCTGTGGAGCTGCAGTGGGCGGTGGAGCACTGTCAAAGTGGCACAAGCAGAGGTATACATTAGCGGCTGGTGCGCTGAAGGTGTCACCGTTTGTGTGTGTCCATGAGTGGGCGCGCATCACAGCAGCAGTGCAGTCTTTGGCTCCTGCTGCTCCGGGCTCTTTCTCCTCCTCTCATCCGCTCCCATCTGAGGCCTGTGATAAGGGCTCTCACTACAAAAGCCAGCCAAGGACACGCTCGCTGCTCCAGGCTCCTGGGTGGGTGCTCGGGTGCTGGGTTGGTTAGTCGTCTTTGTGATTGAATCTGGTTGTGATACTGGGAGGAAAAGGAAAGAACATATTGTGAAAGGATTCGGACTTTGAGATCCTTGGAGAGATTTATCTGAGATTGACTTGTGCTCAGTACAGTTAATCTACCGATGTTGGAACAAATGTTAAAGTTACTACTACTCATACTTCTACTGGCAGGACATGATGCTGTAATATTTAGTTTTAGAGTTGGTTGGGCTAGATCAGAAGATTTAGGTGTCTATAGGAGGGAGCCAACACTGTTACTATTCCCACTACTACTACAAATAGACACATGACAGTTTTCTATTGTATTGATGATGATAATTTCATCTGGTTCTCCACTAACTACACACTGGTCACACAAAAGGTTGCATTCACAGGTGTCTGAGTCATGTTTAAACCTGACTTAGTCCTGGTCTTGTCTATATTTAGTTCCAATTAGGTTATTACTTTGCCTTGAATGTTCCACAGTATAGCATTGAACCTCTCTATAAAGACAACAAAGTGAAAGCATGTTTCTTTTTAGTATTTTAAGCAATAAAAGCACCTGTAATTGAATAAATGCAAAACAATAAAATTTCCTTGGAGACAAGAAACCTTGTATAGTGCAGCTTCAAAGTACTTTTTTTTTAACTTCTAGACTTCTGATTGGACCACAAAAGCACAATTTAGAATGGGGGTTTTGATTATTATACAACTCTAAGGCCATTCAAAAGCTCCCATAGCTGCAAGGCAGAACTATACCTGTGCTGTGGGTGCTGCTGCTGTGTGCTGTGTGGGTGGCCAGGATCAGGGCACTGTTTTCGGGCTCTTATCCACAGCCAAAGCCTCTCCAAAACTCTCCGTCTCCCATAGGCCCCTTTACATTCTAACATTGGATACAGAAGACAGGCCCGAGGCGAGAGCTGTCCCTGCCTTTCTAAGCTAACAGTGCGGGGGTCAGCAGCGAAGCACCACTTTCATATTTATATTTGCAAAAGCGTGAGCCACTCAAATGTCCAGGAGACAAACAGTTGCCAGGCATTACACAAGACAGCACAGCAGTGTTTGGAGAGGTACTTTTGCACTGGTTCTCCAACTACGATTTAAGAAGGAGGATATTTTTATTTCCATTAAAGAAGGCACTGGGTCAAATGACATTTTAGATTATGTAGAGAAGTGAGGGAACTGGAGCAAAAACGAACTTGAATCTGCAATCTGGACACACATTTTGACACTTAGACATAGAAGCATTTCAAATTAGGCAATTTACATCAAATCAAATTAATAAAGTAATGCATTTGTCATCTTGTAAGCAGCATCACAAACACTTTTATTCAGAAAAGTAATCAATATTTTGCAAATTATCTGCCAAATAGGTATGAAAATTGCACTTATGCCAGATTTAATTCATATTTCAAGCTACATTGTCTAGACCAGCCAGAAATAGATTGAGACATTTGTAATTATCAATGATCATCTTTGGTCTTTTTAATCGAGAGGTCCGCAGCCAATTCTTTCTCAATAAATGCATGTGGTTTGGAGTAGAGTTCAGACTTCTGAGTAAGCAATATGTCAATTATTAAAGCTTTCTTACAATCACATAAAAAATTGTGACCTGCAAATCAGAATTTTGAATCTAAGTCATTTTAACTTGTGTTCAGCTTGGGGTTTTTTGCATGTATAACTCTGTGGATCTCTTCCCTTTTCCTTTAGAAGTGCAGATCACAGAGGGAGAACCAGAGCCAGAGCCAACAGAGGCCTTGACCTGCCCGCTGCCCAAAGATGTGACTGACACGTTTAGTATCCAGGGAAACGCTTCTGTGGGGACCTCCATCCACTACAGCTGCCTGTCTGGGTAAGATACAAGTCAACTGTGCTCTGTGAAAATCCTATTTCGTGAGAGGAAGTGTGAGGACTGAAGATGATGTGTAAAAAAAAAGGGGGGAAAATACAAAACTGGAAGACTTAAGAGTGATAAATTACAGGAAATTCATTTTGGTATTTCATGAAGCCAACACTCCCCCAACTGAGCGAACTGGGTCATAACAGTCTAATCTTGTATTGAGTCCTCTTTAACACTGAGTCATCCACACACTAAGACAAGTGGATGTGTCAGCCAGATCAGTGTGCAGGCTCGAAAAAGAAAGGCAATGAAAAGATATAATTTGCACCTATTTTTTATTTTTTTTAAAATAATGTTGATTTATCAGAAATTGGAATTGACTCAAGTGTCACTTTGCCATCTGTGTCCATCATTCTCCTGTCTCTTTCTACAGAGCGGATTTAGTGGGCAGCAGTGAGAACTTCTGTCAGGAAAACCAAACCTGGCAGTATCCCCATCCCATCTGTAAAAGTAAGTGCCAATAATATATATACTGTCAGGCCTAGTATGTGAATCACATAGTCACAAGTATATATCGTTATGTTCATTATGACTTAAACTTTGGTCAAAAAGTTTATGAGAGGCTAACTCCACGGTAGTACAATGTGGCCTTTATAAATGTACAGCTTATGCCCTGGTGATGTGTTGTCTTATATTGCCATCTTGTGGTCAAAGTTGTGTACAGCAGCCTGTGGTTAAATTGCGTGCAGTATTTCAGTATGTCTCTGCTCTCTCAGAGGTGTACTGTCAGCCTCCTAAGGACGTGGAGCATGGGTACGTGGTGGCCGTGCAGAAGACGGAGTATGAAGTGGGATTTGACGTTCACTTTCTGTGTAAGAAGAACTTCCTGTTGGATGGGCCTCAGAAGGTGACGTGCCTCCCAAACGGCAGCTGGAGTGAGGCGCCCCCCCACTGCAGAAGTACGGCCTGTGCAACAGTTTCACTAAGAGCCAAATTAATATTCATGTGTTCAGAAGACTACTGCACAAACCAGACACACACTTCACTGACTATGGACTCAGGACAGCCTTTTGCTCTTTTTTCTTCCAGTTCGCTGTCTCATTCCCGCTGAACGCAGCCGCGTGGTGATCGGGGGAGTGAAGCGCTGGCCCTTTGATGTCACTGATGCCATGGTTCCTCACGGGGAAAACGTCACTTTTTTCTGCAAACATCCAAATAAAATGTGTAGCTTCACTGCATCTCAGACCTGTTACGACGGACACCTGCAGCCTCCAGCCTGCTACCTGGGTAAGTTGGGTTTAGTGCAGTGTTTCCCAATCAGAAGTACAGGGAGTGCAGTCTGAAAACTAAGGCTGAATTGAATATTTGATTAATGAATGTTGTAGTGCATCATTAATAATGTTTGTGTAGGACAATCTTGGCATGAATATCAATAAAACAAGAAAATATAATAGTAGAAACACTGGTAGATTGTATAAGGGGAAGTCAGGACAAAAAGGGTTGGGTACAACACTTTGCATGAATACAACTGCAGTTTAATGTGATATATGAAATGCATTGCTTACATGTTTGCTTGATTTGCAGAGCCCACATGGCTGCAGTACAAACTCTTCCCTCATCGCCTGGTGTCTGAGATTGAGGCCTGTGATTTGGAGGAGATGGCCTGATGACCTTGGCCCACCAGAACACAGAGTCACAATATGAAACACAGCAACTATTCTATTCTCCTATATCATCTACTATAACAGGTGTATTGGCTGTCGTGTCCACTGTCCCATATGCCCTTTGGACTATAAGTTAACTTTCCATTAGGCTTCACAAATGCAACACAACGGCTCCCATCTGTTATGCTTTCTGATTTCTGAATCCTTGTGCAGAACAAATAAATGCGTTTTTATAGTGACCTTTTATTGCGAATGGTCCAAAGTACACTGAAATAACCATACTATTTAATCACCGACTGCCCTTTTGTTTTCATATTATCCTTAAAATGCAAATATGTGCAATTTTACACTAAATGTACAGAACATAGCTCCAATCTAGACATGCATTTTAATGTCATTTTACTCTTTGACGCATCAAGTCTGAACTGGCTTGTAAGTTTTGACAGTATTTAAAATAAACATATATGAAAAATTACATGTCTGGGGGTATTTTGTGGTGATTTTGTGGTCTTTTTCCTGGATGCTGTTCTATATTGCATTGGCTCCATGTCTCGTCTGGAGGCTGCGGGTTCAACCGTACTCATAGGCTGAACATGGCTAATGCTCGGACCCGGTAGGCTGCGACACCATAGCAACTCCCCTTGACCCCTCCCTCCTCCAACAAGCGCAGCATCACCCTTTACACCGCACAGTCATATTTGGTCCTCCGGAAATATCCACTGCACGGGTAAGCCAGTCCCTATGCAGCAGGCTTATGGGTGGAGTATAGTTTAAATTACAGTTTTAAATGTATGGGGCACGCATCTCACGCCGCGTCTGACTGCTACGGTACATGACAGCGCGCGGGGAAAGTTTGTCCTCGCGCAGCCGGGTCGCGCTCCGGTTGTCTCGGACCCACGGCTCTAAAATGGCTGGCTGGAGGTCCGAGGACGCCGAGGTGCCGAAGCGGAGGATTGAATCGCTCCGGAACATAGCGGTCTCCGGGTGTCTCCTTCTCTGCTAGAGCCGGGGGAGCGACGCGATAGAGATGCTGTCGCCCCAGGTCCGAGGGCTGCTGTCAACGCGCACGCTTGATCTGACCAGCGGTCTTTCGGACCATGGACTTTGCGTAATGGCGTCCTCCATCGACACAAGGCTACTTTTCGATTTACCCTCAGATAGGCTATTACTGAGCCATATTTGGTAAATGATAGTAAAAGAGCAGTAGCGGCTTAAACATATTGGACAGAGTGTAGCGTGCACATTGCTGAAAGTCTGACAGAAATGCTTACCGATAGTGTCGCTGGTGAGCAGCCATATGAACCTGTAAAAATACGCACAGGGGTTAGTACTGATGCCAAAATAAATGTAGGCTATTTTCTGTGATCATTGTTTCAGAATATTATATAGCCTAGCTGTATAGGCAGTCTGTGTAGTGGGTCGTGCGTTATGCTGCTTGTATTGTTATCATTTTTAATTTATCAGAAGTTTTTTCCCCCTAATGGTCTATTGATCAAGCCTATAAACTTGACCTCAGTGATGACCCCACTTAAACCCCTTCTATCCAACATTACAGCTTTATAGGCCTGTTATAAAAAGGAATGTATATCCATAGATTTTAAATATGATGTGATTTGTTAAAGCCTAGTTCCTTTCTATTATATAATAAGTGTCTCTTGTTTACCTTTTCAGAATTAAAGAGGTATGCCCCAAAATGGATTCTCAGTTGGCTACAGTCCTGACCAGTGGGAGCCTAAATGTTCAAAATGGCAGCCAGTGCACACAGATATCAGGGCCACTTTCCGAGGTTTGTTTAGAGCCAGAGGGAGAAGAGACCTCCTCCAGCACTGTGCCAGGTAACCTCCAGCCATGCCCTGTACAAATAGCACTGACCATCAGGCAGGACTCACTGTCAATCAATGGAAAAAAGCCAGAGGGAGGCGGGACTTCAAAGCCAGCGTCCCACGAGACAAGTAAGAGTGGTGGATTCAGGGAACCAATTACAGTCAAGACCGGAGTGCCTATTCTGCGCAGGGAGCCAATCAGAATCCGCATAGTTGCTCCCCCACAGTGCAAAAGGCCAATCACAGCCTCCACCCTCAGCCTCACCAAAGACCTGACCCTCTCCCGTTTGAAAAAGCCTGCGGTGGTCCCAGCTGGAGATCAAAACACAACTAAGAGTCAAACCAGTGTTAACAGTGAGCCCAAAATCAAGATGGACACTCAAAAGCCTGGGCAAGAATCTTTGAAAAGCAGAGATACAGTTAAAAAAATAATTTACAAAGAGAAAGATTTGTGTCAAGATAAAAATAATACTGATGCTTTAGAGACCCTTCTTATCTCGAGCAATGATACAGTCAAAATACTAACCCAGTGTAAGATTAAAGAGGAGCCAGAGGAGGATCTACAGAAAAACATTCCTATATTTTGGGAAAGGATGCCACTGAACGGTTTGAAGATAAACGCTATGGAAATAGAGGAACAGACTGAACCACTGGACTTAAGTCTACCCAAAAAACGTGAGAGGCGATACGGGCGATTATTGGAAGACTGGGGAGAGAGTTCACTTATTATGGAAGTGGATGAGTATGAAGGGGAAGGGGATAGAGACATTGTAGAAGACGACAGTGACTTAGAGGTGTTTTGTACTAACGATTTACAACTCTCCCCGTCTATATTTGATTCTTCTATAGACTGTAACACAGAAGACCTCCTTTTAATAGACGATCAAGGTATCCCGTACACCCTGAGCCCGGATGGACACAAATTGCCACAAGTTGATATTTCTAAGCTGGAGCAAATGAAAAGTGTAGATGAAGACGGGCAAGTTTTATCAACAGAGGAAGTTACAAGTCATAGCCATAATATTGACAATGAACAAATAGACGCGTCCTTTGATAAGCCAGTGGACGAAACTCCGCCTCCCTCGCTCACACCTCAGCTGGAGGAGAACCCCAGTGAAGACACAACAGAAACTCAGCCCCACCAGGAAGTTCAACCCCCATCTGCAGTATCCCTACTCAATCAGCCCATTCAAATCCTCACTAATTCCACTAACAACACGCCCATCGTCTTCCTCACCTCCTCTTCATCCTCTGTCCAAACTCCTATAAGCCTGTCTTTGCCTTTTTCGCAGGCTCCATCCTCCACGCCGATGCTGCTCCTCCTCTCCCCCGTTGCGCCCTCTGCTGGTGAGGCCACCGCTACCTCCACGCCCATCGCCGTTCTCGACCCCACCACGGGTCAAATATCGCAGATTGCAACTGCAGCACCTCTGGGTCAAATGGGTGCAACCGTATCGCCTCTGTCCCACCCCGTGATTAGACTAAGCCCAAGTAACCCGCAGATCATTCTCTCAGGCAACACTGTCCTCAGCTCTCTGTCTGTTCATGAGTCCAGTCTACAAATGGACCAGAATACTTCCTCTGCAACGCTTTCTCATAATCCAATAAGCTCTTCCGAATCCACGCCATCTGGAAATCAAGCCATATTTTCCGAAGATACTGAAGACAAGCCATCAACTGCCGGTTCTGCTCCTGCACAACCTCCTGCTTTAAACTTAGATTCCTCCTCTCAACCTGGCAACGAAGCAGTTGACCAATCACCCTCCACAGACACCAAACCCGATCTCTCTGACCCCAAATTCGAACTGAACGACCACCTTTATTACAACTGCGCAGCGCCGCCTTCACCTTCGCTTATGTGCACCACCAAACTGGAGCCCATGGACCAGGTAGACCCCCTCTCTCCGGACTGGACCCCTGACGGGCAGGGTGCTCGCAGGGTGCTGTACTGCCAACTGTGCCCGCGGGTCTTCTTTTACATGTCAGATCTGGAGCGCCACGCCATCACACACTCACAGAAGAAGCCCCACGTTTGCCCACAGTGTGGCAAAGCATTCAAGCGCTCCAGCCATCTACAGGTCAGAATACAGTATTTACACACTACAGTACAGATACATGTGTAGTAAATAGTTTTAATAACACACAAATTTGTGCAGTCAGTACTTTATAGTTTGATATTTGTGAATAAAGTATAATGTAAGGATGGCAGTATGACAAGCTGAAGTTGCTTTTCTGTGTAAAGGTGCACTATATGTCTTTCCACAGTGTCTTTTCTCTTATCTGTCACGAATTACCTTGAAAAACAGACCGGCGTCGTCTGTCAGATCTGACGTGTTACTGGTTATGTCACTTGCCTGACACCACGGAGAGTAGATAACTTTAATCCCATAGTTTGGAACATTCCTGGCACAGCAAATATATCTATATCTATGCTCAAATACAGATGTATGCTGTTTACTTTTCTGCACCTACTTCTGCTGTTGGTCAACCTCTGACATTCTCTGAGTGAGACAGGCGGACATGAATTGTGATCAAATCAAAATTGTGTGCTTGCCCTACAAAAAATAATACAAATTCTGTGATTTTTGGCCACCTGTGAGATCATGTCATGTGACTTGTGTAGTGAAAAAGTTGTTAGTTCCCTGGCTTTAGTATGAGGTTGAAATGGTAAATATATATATAATATATCTATAGCACTTTCCACCTTCAAGGTGGTCAAAGCACTTTACAACAAGGAACCACTCACCCATTCACACACCAGTGTACACAGACATTGTGGGCAAGGTGGGTTAAGTGTCTTGCCCAAGGACACAACAGCAGCATTCATCTGTGGGAGCTGGAATCACACCAGCCAACCTGTGGGTCAGTGGATCTGACCACTCAACCTGTGATGTTTTTATGTCGAGAGCTGGATTCAAACCGCCAACCTTCAGATCAGTGGGCGAATGCTCTACCAACTGAGCTACTGCCGCCAATGAAACTCATCATGATTGTTCTATTAATAGCTATAATACCAGTCATTTTCTGTACTTACAGTGTTCTTAAATGTACAAGCCTCAAGCAGAAGTTGTTGTATAATAATAAATGTTATTGAAATCCTTGTCTTAACAGAGGCACAAGCACATTCACACGGGCCAGAGGAACTACGTCTGCCCAATCTGTGCCAAACGTTTCCGGGAGGCGGGCGAGCTGCAGCGTCACCAGCGGGTCCACACAGGAGAGAAGCCGTACCAGTGCCAGCTGTGCCACACGCGCTTCGCCGAAAGGAACACACTGCGCAGACACACCAAGCGCAAGCACCCCTACCACCAGGTCGCCATGGAGATGCTGAGCGACAAGAAGAATGGAGGAGGTAAAAGTGCATCTGCGGTGCAGGAGGAGGAGAGTGCGGAGTGGTACAGCTCCTCTGTGTCACACATGGACAACTCAGAGTCCGAGGCAGAGGCATAGAGACTGAAGGGAGGCCACTTCCTCTTTTAGATTTCAACACATTCACAAAGGGAGCACTTTCATTTATGTTGAAACTTATTTATTATTACATTATATTCCCATTCCACTGGACAGGGCCAAATGCTGGATTCCAAATCATGTATGATTATTTTAAAGTATAAAGGGAAGACATTATTTTCCCTTAACTGAAAAATGTCTAACTTATAAATCCTATGAATTTATTACATTTGCATTTGATGCATAAAAGATATAGAACCCTTAAGAGAAAATACGTTTATTGAGTGCCAGAGCTGTATATAAAAATAGTATTGTTGAACTGCACTACTACGAGAGATGAAGTATCTTTCAACTGTCAGACACTGTGAGTCATTTGCACTTTTCTTTGTCATTTTATAGGCCTTTGTGGATTGTTGCCTGTTATTTTCTGTATGTGTCCTTGTTCTTTGACCAAAAGATACAAATTATCAAAAGGATATTAGATTTTGCTTTATGTGGATTTTATGTAATTTATTTGAATAAAATTTCTTTAATGTAACACAAACACTTTGGTTTTCTCTTCTCAGTCCAGCCTGGTGTGAAGTCAGAAGTCTGTGGAGTAAAATAAGACTATATAAGGCTCAGCCGTTAGAAAACAAAATGACCTAAGCGTCTGATATACCTAATTTAGAGATCATTTGGACTGTCTCCAGGAAGTAGTCTAATTGTATTTTTGGATACTCTTTAACTAATTTTTCAGTCTAAAAGCAAAACCGCTGGAAGGTAATTTGTTACTGAAGATGCATTGCCTACCTAATTTTAAAAACAGAGCAGTGGCACGGTTGAGAAAACACTCCAAGCTGGCAAAATAATCCAAGTGGTAAGGATCATTGCAACTAAGTATTAACTACTGTCTACTTATCTTACTTATTTCCCTACTAAAACTACACCATAAACAGATTCTCCAGCACATTAACCAATTTCCATGATTAGACTTCTGATCCGCTTCCTTTGTGTTAGTCAAATTAACTGGAATGATTAGTTCTCCACTCACGTGTTTAAATTATGACCTCTCGTAGTGGATGTGAATGTCTTCCCTCATGTCTACAACAAAGCGCGTAAATTGACACAAAGTAGATCCCGTTGGCCTAATTGACACGAGAGATCCGCAAATTTGCTGAGCCAACAAGGTCCCACATGCGCAGTGTCGTTGATGAATATTCATTTAACACGCTACGCACCTCGAGTTTTGGCTTTGAAATGCAGTTTGAGGTTGGGCACTTGCATGTGAATTGCATGTGTTTTGGGTTTTGGGGGACCCCTGTTGCACAAAACTTTAAAGTGCATTCCCTCACACACATGTTATTGGCTAAAATGTGCGTGCGTAATGTGTGCGTCTTTACGTGGAGCGGTCCGGGCAGCAGGCCACGGCGCAGGGTGTACAGCCAAGTGATTGAAGAGATAAAAGTAAAATCGTGGACACAGGAGAAGTAAAGAAGTATGCCAGGATAGGGATTTTTATTCATTTGATACATCGCCTGTTTTGATACGTTGTTGGCATAGCAATCCGTTGAATCACACATGGCTGCGTCCTGGAACCAAAACGTCAACAAACCATATAATGAGTTTGATTCGTCCTCTCAAGGTTGCCATTACACTTTTTGGCCATGTGAGGGCAGACTTACACTTCAAAACGCGGGACACGAGCTGTTGCCTTGTCATCTCAAATGGTGGAGAGAGAATTCACCATGGAAGACACATCCAAGCTGCTTGACTCTTAGATCTAAATCATCCGGAAATCTGTGGTGGGAACGGGATTTGCTGTTATTTTTAATGACGTTTGTAAATGTTTTGTGATCTGAGCTGCAATTTAAGAAAGTAAACAAAAGAAAAAGGCTGCCTGTAAAACAATCTGCTACATGAAGAAGAGCTTCATTACGCTACCACACAAAGGTGCATTCTGTAACTTTTCTGGTGCAGGGTTCACAGCTTGTTTCCATGGAGAGATATTAATGCTTTGCTAGGAACATTACATTAAATTTATGGAGCAGGTGTGTGTAAAAATCACTCAGTTGTGTAGGTAGAATCCATGGCAAAAGGAGAAATTCAACACTTCACATTTAACAAAATACAATAACATAAAATTAAAACATTAAAACATAAAGCATCACCCACAACAAATACAAAACAACAAAACCCCCCATTTACCCCTGACCACACACACCAACACAAATTTAGTTAAATAAAACAAAAGTAATGTGACAGATAAACACACCGCTAGGTCCCCTTACACTGATATATTTGGACAATTCATAATTTAAATTCCCTCTCTCTCTTTCTTCCTTTTTTTCCCATTTTCAAATAAGCATTTGTAGTCCCTATATTTAAACTAATATTATTTCACCATCATCATTTCCTTTCATCATCTTTTACTATTTATTACAAACTTCTTCGCATTCTTAACTTAACTTTAACTGGACAATGGTTTATTTTGGTTGAATACCATGCAGCTTGGATGAGTTGCAAAACGTATTCGACCAAAATAAACTTTTGTCCAGCTGACAATTTGAATTTCTCCTTTTGTTATGGAGCAGGATGTCTGTGTAATCCCTCAGCTGTCTGTATCCTTGTTCTTTTGCAGTCTTTCATTAAGGATGGCTTTAGATAATTAACATTTTCCTAACACTGAATTTAAGAACTAGTTAAATTTTGAAATTCAATCAACATATCTCAAAAAAATCAGATATATAATCATAAATATTTTGTCAGTTAGGAAGTGGTCCATGTACCGATTGGGTTCTGATCTGACCCCAGTTTAATTCTAATGTAGACTTGGTTTGGTCCTGTTCTTGAACTTCTAGTCCTGGTTAGGGGTGTGCAAAAACATCAAAATATTGATATATTGTATGGTTTAATGTATCTGCTGTATCAATATATTGCCAGGAGTAGGTTTTTGTGGTATATTTTACTAAATTATTTTGTTACAGCTACAGTTTTGTTACTTGTTCAGAGGAAGGAAACTTGTTTATGCAACAAATTTGACTCGATACGGTCCATTAAAAATAAAGGCTAAATCATGGCTGTGATACTAAAAGTCTTTGTTAAACCACTTCTTGTGCAAAGTTCATATGAAACACAAACATTTTGATCATCAAAACTGTGAAAATGTCAAATGTGTACCATAAACAAATTTCCTTCCTCTAAACCAGCAACAAAACGGTATTGCTGTACCAAAATAATGTAGTAAAATATACCAAAAAAATACTCTTGCCGATATATCAATACAGCAGCCCATGATACACAGTATCATCACATTAAATGATATGATACATTGTTATTTTGATATTTTTGCACACCCCTATTTGATATATTCACTGTTTTGATGATTAAAATGTTTGTGTTTCATATGTACTTTGAACAAGAAGTGATTTAACAAAGACTTTTAGTATCACAGCCAGGATTTAGCCTTTATTTTTTAATGAACCGTATCAAATCGTTTTGAAATATATCGTATCGAACTGAAGGTGCACTGTATCGAGATATGTATCATATTGTGGTCTATGTATCGATGTATGTATTGTATTGGCAACTTCTTAATGATACTCAGCCTTAGTCCTGGTTCAGTCCACTTCCATAAACACAAGTGAGCTGATATACCCTCCTCCAGAAAAGTTACACAGTGCTTCTTTAACAGTGATGTATCCTTTACTACCAGGTAACACAGAAGGGTTTCCACATTTTAATATGATTACTGTGTGCGTGTTTGTGTGTGTGTGTGTGTGTGTGTGTGTGTGAAAGAGAGAGTTAAAGAAGGAGGGTAACAGGTGCAAATCAGCGAGGGAGTCCCGGGTTAGAGGGGGGTGACCAAAGCACAACCAGAAGAAAAAGCTATTACATCACCAGCTCCCCAATGTGCCACCATGTTGTTTGCTTGTTTACTGTCCTTTGATGTGGGCGCCGTCAAAAGGTGAACAGGGAAAATAACAGATCATCTTTTGTAATGAGCAATACAGATGTAATAGCTCCAGGGTTAGTCAACGCTCAGTAATGTTAAAATGAAGTCGCAGCTCTGGCATTCATTTTGGGCTCCACTGGTTGTTCCGTTTTGTTCCATGGAAACTGGAATTGGCCATCTCTTAGCTCAGCGGGCTTTGTATTTAGAAATCTTGACGTCACCCTCGTTCTTTGTGAGTGTGTATGTGTGTGTGTGTGAATATTTTTTACATCTAGTTAAAGGTTGCATTTGTCTCTGTCCTCCTCCCGTTTTTTTGTGTTTCCTCTTGTGCAACATTTTATACAAAAAGTTCAAATATGTGAGATCCAAATTCGTTTATCTTTTGTGCAGTGAAAATTGCCCATACTAAAACTGCAAGGATTTTTGACAGTTGAAGTTGAAGATAATCATACACCAAAACCAAATTATGCTTAAAGGTCCTGTATTACACAAAAAATGTTTTTATCTTATCAGCAAACATACCTGGGGTTTTGATGCATTCACACATGTATGAGTAACCCTTTATTATTAGTCTGTCTACATCTCCAAAACTCAAACTGCTGTATGGAAACACAGTGGAGCACTTCTATTACTACATGACATCGCAGGGACAGTTTTTTCTGTTTGAGAAAAGAACTCAGTCTAAATATATGGCTATGTCTGTTAAACATTTGTGACAGAAACAAAATCAACTCCAGGTATGTTTGTGATGAGGAAACAACATTATAGCATAGACTAGAAAGTAGTATAATCTGGGCCCTATTATGTTAGCAGATTTACCCTGTACTTGGTGGCACCACCTAATGCCTCCGCTCAATTTCATTTCTCTCCAGCGACAAGGTCAGGAATCAGAATACACTAGTTTGCAAGAACCCCGGAAGTGCAAGTTCGGGCACCAGCCAATCAGCGAAGAGCCATACATTCTGTGTTGACAATGATTCCTGAGATTGAGTTTTTAAAGCCGGAACAAAGAGAATGTTTGGTGAATTTCATTAAAGGAAAAGATGTTATTGCCCTTCTTCCTACGGGATTAATATACCAGTTAGCCCTGTTAGCGGCGCAGGACATACGTCACGACCAAATAGTAGCGATTGGATAAATGATAAAAAGTATCCACCTACCGTCGAACGAACAAATCCTAATGCTGCGAGGTCAGACGGTTTCTACAAGGTGAAACCGGCTGATGAATCAGGCTTGGCGTCACCTGCTTGTCTCGATGGAAATAAATAGGTTTAATGCTTTACTGTGGAACAGTCAACAACCTGGGGGGCTGAATAGAATATCGTTTATTTATCAAAAAATTATACAAAATGATAAGTGTGTTTGGGGTGATTTATATATTTTTAAAAAACTGTATGAAAATGTTTTGATTGATTGATTAATTTATTTCGGTCACAGGTTTATTCTGACATTATTTAACATACACTGACTGAAACGGTGTAGACTGAAGCTTGAGCTTATTATGCCGACCTTTTATTCCTTTATTAGAGCGTCATCTTGACACCAGTCCATATTCATAAATACAGCAAGAGGAAACAAATAAATTAGTAACAGTACAACAAAGTACAATAGCACAAACTAAGTATCATAATTCATGTATCGGCCCAGAGTTAAACATTTCAACTTCTTTATAAAATGGAAGAGAGTGTTGCACAATTGTAAAACAAAATGTAGGATAGTAGTAGTATTACTAATCCAATCTTTTAACAAAGATTAGCCAGTGTAGCAGTCCATAGTCTCAGGTTTTGTGTCACTCTTCCCTTTCACCTCTCTGCAGTGTACTCACCCGAGCCCACCCCCATGAGGTCCCCTTCCTCCCTCAGTGACCTGCTGAAGCAGCACACACCAACCTGTCTGTCAAAGGAGCCAACAGGTGCTGCAGTACAACTTCACTACCCCCACGTTCCTGCTCCTGTCCTCCCTCTCTCCCCTCCTCTCTCACCTCTCTCCCCTCCTCTCTCCCCTCCTCTCTACCTCCTCTCCCTCTCTGAATATGCTCTAGGCCACATAGGCACACCTTCAGGCTAACACTCTAGATTCACACATTACTTTAAATGCTGTAAGCGTGAAGCCAAACTATCCACTGCTGATTCTAACTGTAAACTGTGCGGACGGACGGCTTCCTATAGGCCTGGTCACAATAACAAATGTTAAAGAGTGATATATTGCTTCAAAAAACATCACAGTAAACAATAATAATCACATTAAACCCTTTTCACAATTAATTGTAAAAAAAAAAACCTACAGTAAAATAAAAACTGTTAAGCTGAGTTCACCCTGGCACACACTACATCAAAATTGGCACTAGACTGGGACTAAATCCAGAACTATACCTGGAATAGGCCAGAATTAAACTAGGACTAAACCAGTGCCAAACCCAGTCTGCTTCAGGACAGGTGTAAGCAGGCCTTGAGTTAATATACAAGATAGAGTAGAGTTGTATAGTCCTTACTTATTCAACCCCATGAACTTCCATCTAATTCTCATTATTAATGCATTGAAAAAAATATATTAATCCCCCCAAAAAATTCTTGACTGGCCTAGTGACCTCTGACTCTTATAGGTGTTGTCATGCCACCACATACACGCGCATAGGACAACTCCAGAGCTGTTAAATCACTCCAGGAGGGTGACTCACAGGGACAGGAGCATATGAACTTGGAACTGAAGCTGTACTGATCTGAGTCCCAATGCCCCAGGCTCCTCACAGCGCTGTGTAATACTGTATAGTGTCATCTTAACATTATGACCACATTAAGGAAGTCAAACCCTTCACTTACTATTTGGAATGTAACGATAACGATAATCTCTCGGTATGATAGTGTCACGACATACATCTTGATATTTCTTGTGATATTTTGGATAGACTAATGTAATTGTATATAGGACACTTTTTAAAAAAAAATACCTTGACAAGATTTTGGTAAGAATCATTACCATCATAATCCCAAGAGGTCAAGTACAAACATATTTCTTCATGTTGTCTGCACTGAAATGAATCATTGTATATGTACTATTATAAAACAATACATTTAAGCAAAGAACTTGTAATTCTATATATTGTGACAGCCCATGATATTACTCTGAAACTTTTTACGATACAATATCACAATGTTTCGTTATTGTTACATCCCTACTATTACTTTAGAAATGACCAAACAAAAGGGAATATTTCATTCGTAACTTTACTCTCCCTCAAGTATGTGACAAGAATCCGTGTATCCTTCGTTCATTCGTTTTTCAAAAACAAAAACAAAAATAAGAAAACGAAAAAATGACAATTTTCTTCATTATTTGTCTCCAAAACCAAAATGAAAATTTGGATAACAGATAATGATTCTGGGACCAGACGTCATAGTCTTGGTCTCAGTCCTGGTCCCAGTTCTGGTCTGGTCCCAGTCTCAATCCTGGTTTCAGTCCCGCTCTGGGTCCAGTCTCAGTCCCGATTTGGTCCCGGTCTCAATTACTGTCTCAGTACTGGTCTCAGGTCTGGTCTCAGTTCTGGTCTGGTCCCAGTCTCAGTCCCGGTCTCAGTTCTGGTCTCACTTCTGGTCTCAGTTCTGGTTTGGTCCCAGTCTAAGTCCTGGTCTGGTCCCAGTCTCGGTTTCAGTCCTGGTCTCGGTGTCAGTCCTGGTCTGGTTCCGGGCTCAGTCCCAGTCTCAGTCTTGGTCTCAGTCCCAGTCTGGTCCTGGTCTGGTCTTGGTCTCAGTTTTGATCATCCGACAGTCTATGCAGGCACACCTCCGGGCCCATCCCAACACTCAGTCCGGGTTCAGTCCTGGTTCAGTCCTGGTTCAGTCCTGGTTCAGTCCTGGTTCAGTCCAGCATCGCAGTTTAAGTCACGGAAACAAGAAATTGTTATCCGTTTTTTCCATTATTCATTTAAACACAAAATCGAAAACTGAAAAAAACAAATCATTATCCGTTTTTTCATTTTGGTTTTGGAGACAAATAATTGTAGAAAATTGTTGTTATTTCATTTTCTTATGTTTGGTTTTATTTTGAAAAACGAATGAATGAACGATATATGGATTAACCAGATATATGAAATCACTATTGATAAAAGCTCTACATGGCTTATGTTTTGGATTTATTTTTGCTTTTAAGAGTGGATTACAAGATAAGAGATGGGTTTTTCCCCCCAAAAAATGAGTAGAGTTTTTAAACACAACAAATATGTAACCAGCATACAACAAAGTGCCCACTTAAAATAGAAAAAGCACAAAATCCTCTCCAGTGGGATAAGAGATGTCCACTCTATCATTGTTATTTTTTATTATATTGTGACAGAAAAATTGCAATCATCAATCAACTAAACATGGCTGAACGATTTAGGAAAAAAATTCATTTTAACTTTTCTGACAAGCATTGCGACTGTGATTAGATTTGCGATTTATGTTTTAATAATAGGATTCTGTTCAAAGTTCCCAAGTGAAAGGACGGAAAGAGTTCAACTGGAAAACTAATACAAGAATCACATTTCAGAACATATTTGTACAGATCTAAACTACAGGGTTATCATTTTTATGCAGAATAAGACAGAATATTTTGTATTTTGCAGCCCTGTGACTATCTTTACATCTCTACTTTGGACACTACAAACTCCTCAAACTCTGCGCTGGTGTGGTCAGCCGATGACAAGTGGGAAGGGGCGTGTGTGTGCAGGACGGGGGGACGACGAGAGGGGGTTTAGAGTGGGTTGAGTGGGGGGGAGGACGGGACACGCCACTTCGAAGGGGGAGGGGTGAAGTTTGACAGTCGGCTGCAGTTGGCACCTCGGATCCAGGATGCTTTGGGGGCGGACAGGGAGAAGGGCCAAGGATTGAAGCCAGAGGTACAGACAGTAGATCCAGGGTGAGTAGACTACAGCAAGGGGACGAAGGGAGCGCCGGTCCTCTTCACCTTGATTTTAACTTAACCAATGACACGGATATGAACATAAATGGGATGTATTTTTACTAAAGGAATCCAAACATTTGCCTGTCTTGTCCTCTAACCTGCCCCTCTCTCAATCTCTGCAAGGGACTCCATTGGCTGTAAGTGACATTTTTGCATTCACAATTTGATGCATTTTTGTCTTAAATATGTCAGTTTTGATTGCATGAATGAAACAGTATTTGACTTTTGTTGGTGTTTGAAATCTGCGTGTAGTGTGTAAAAGATCAAACATTGTCTTTTCATTGATCACTGGGTAATTTGAATCGGAAATGTGGTTTCATTTTTAAGTATTTCCCTATATTTCTCATATCTTAACTTCAATTTTGGATTTCCTGCCTCTGTGCAAATGTCCAGAGGGATGCTGTAAGTTGCTGCAATTCACGTTTGTCCCTCACAACTAACAACCCAAACGCAGGGCTCATCGTAGACGTCAAAAGAGGACGGATCAGGGTTGCGTCCATCACGGTGCCACTTTGGAGCTGACTCTTTGACTAAAAGCTCGTCTGTCTGTTTAAATCCATGTGTCATTGGCTGTTTCTCCACTTGGGCTGCAGTGAGAGTGTGATCATGACAGGATGTCCACAGGGAAGCTATGCTGCTGTTATTGAGGTCTGAGATTCTTTGTGTGTGTGACTTTCAGTTGATACTTTGCAGCTGATGTCATTAATATTCCTTGGGGGGGGTAAAGCTAACTAGAGGCATTGCTCTGTCTGAAGCTCTGTTGCCCAAGTTAATAATGACCTTTATTTTTACACAATCTGACCAGAAAGAACGGACTTAGTCGGAACTACAACAGGTGAACTGATTTGTGCTGTTAAACAAGTCTCTCAAATAACGTTACAGTCACAAGTTAACACTTACTAGTGTTAGCCGACAGTTTTTCGGGTAGTCACTCTCACCTTTTTTGTTAAAAATCAAACAGAACCATGAACACTTCACACATCACAGGTTCGTGAAAATGTGTTGTTTCACTTTATATTGTTCTTGAATTTTCAGACTGTCTTAAATTTTATTGAGGTATTTATTACAAATGTGTGCATTGTGTCACCATGGCAACAGCTGAACATTCTCCCACAGACATGCATGCAGAGCCCCTCTTCCCCCCCTTTCAGCCTGATGTCACTACAAATTATCAGTGCGTGTTTGTGTCAGTGCACTGACCAGCGTCTGTGTCTTTCTTTCTGCAGACGTAGAGAGAGGAGAGAAGAGGCAGCAGAGTCTTCCTCTCCTGGTTCTAGTCTTTCTCTCCGCTCCGGCCCCTGCTCCTCACCACCATGACCCTGGCGGCCTCCGAGAGGTCACTGCTCATCAGAAACAAGTTCCGCTCAGGTGAGAAGCCAAGAAAACCAAGAGAAATCTATTGCAAGTAATCACAGCACTGGCAACTTTTACATGGCCAGTAAAAATCAAAACAAGCAGATAACACAATTGGAGACAAGTTTTTTTTGGTGTATGTTTACTGCACAAAATTAATCTGAACATCAAAAACATCTGGTGACACGTCAGTCAATCAATGGATTTATAGTATTAGAAGAAAAGTACAAGCATATGTAAAATATTTAAAATATATTTAACTATTCCAACATTTTCACTTTCATTTATGTTTTTGCCACATTTCCTCTAGTCAAAACCTGCACAGAAGTGAAATCAGATTACTCACATCAGATAACAGTTTACATGACATTTAAACAATCAGATAACTCCAGAAATCAGATCAGAGTTTTGCCACTGAGATGAAATGGTGATGGTGAAATGGCCCTGTGCACTATACCAAACATATTTGCATTAACATAATATTAAGACTTCAGACTACACAAAATAATTATAACACTCAAAACGCTACATGTTTAAGTATTCATTCAAACTACAACTAATGGTAAGATACTAGCCACAGTCGCCCTGGGGCAGATGGACAGAAGTGTTGCTGATTAGTCACTCACTCAATCAATATACTGTATTCTTATGTAAGCATCCAAGGGCACCACTACAGTGTGCACAGGTTAACTTTGCTTAGTTCTCCTCCCTGTAAAGTGGCGAGTGAAGTGTCTTGCCCAAGGACACAACAACACTACAGTGTCATATGAAAGTATTGATCTGTCAACCTTCCTTTGAGAGAGCAAACATCTCCACAAACAAGAGTATTATAAGTGAAGTACCAGCTCCTTCTATCTGACTGTTATGTGATTCATACAGTTGCAGTGTGGATCGATCGGGGTTCAGGGTGTGTCACTCGCTCCTTTATGCTCAAGTGTCTGTAACATGAACGTGAACAGTTTGAAAACAGTGACGTTGATCTGCTTTGTGGCTCTATACAACAGATCACAAAGAAAAAGTTTTTCTCTTATATCACTTTGACACAGTCTGATCAAAGGCTTTTAGATCTGATAAAAATATTGCACTATGTATTGGTTTGGGAGGTCTCACATGGACTGCATATTTAACATTTACAGTTCATTTGTAGGGCTGTGGAATTGAAATGTAAATTTATGAAACCAGATCAATTCTTAAAGCATCCATATTATACTATTTTCTGATCTATGTTATGATGTTGTTTCCTCATTACAAACATGTAGAGTTGTGTTTTGTTTCATTTACACATGTTTAACACACAAATGCTTCATACTTGGGCTGAGTTCTTCTCTCAAACAGAAACCGCTCTTCTGTCGTTTGACCTTCTGCCATCTGGTAATACTGGAAGTGCTTTCATGTTTTTAAACTCCATACTCTTTCACTAGAATTATTTGGATGATTTCAGTCCTGGTAGCTGTTCACAACTTCATGACATCACAAGATGGAACAGATCATTGTGAGCTTTTGAGGTGTAGATAGACTAATAATGCAGGATTACTCAAACAACAAACAAAACACAACTCCAGGTCTGTTTTTGAGAAGGTAACGGCATTATATCATGGCTTTGGAAACCTTTGGAAAGTTCTTGTATTAGTTTAGCTTTGAACTGTACGATATGCCAAACATTAAATCTGTATTCTGATCTGATCGTTGTGACAATATGGTATTTTGGTGATATGATTTCATGTTAGGATGCAGTGCTTCTTTGTATATTTGCGTCCCACTGCTCAAACACAGACACTTTCTCCATCCTCTCCTCCTATATGCCAACCTACATAATGCTCTGAGTGAGTGACAGATGAATTTATCCAATCACAGTGAAGTGGGAACTCCCCAGCAGCAGACAATTGTAGTTATCTCTCTCATGAATCTACTTACATGAATCATAATCAGATCAAAATCAGTCTTCAGTCTTCTCTCAAACATAAATGGAAGTGTTCAAAATGTGCACTGAGTTTACTTAAATAAAACTAAATAATTGTGATAACAGTTTTATTTTCTCAGTTGTTAAACCTGATCATTTCTTTTAGTGACGTGACTAGACCCCAAAGCATTTTTATCAATATTCATTTTAGCTGCCCTCCATCTGTATTAAATATTATTGGCGTATAGAATTTTGCGACATCTTTTGAAACATAATGAAGCAGCACCAACTTTGGTGTATGCTTTTCGCTTTAATGCAGCAGTGGGGACTTGCGAGTCGTGACTTGAGTCACTATTTTTAGGACTTGAGACTTGACTTGATAAAATGGACTAAGACTCGGGACTTGACTTGGACTTGAAGGTCAATGACTCAGGACTTGACTCGGACTTGGGGCCTGTGACTTGAGAAAACTTGATGCTTTTCCTAAAAAATATATATGTTTTTAGAAAATACTTTTCTCTTTACAGTTGATAAATGCGGTGCTGAAATTTACAGAAACAAACTGGAACATGTCCCTCCACTTCTGTTTGGTACTTTGGATGTAAATGAAGTACTGTGATACTCAAATGTACTACAGTAATATGCAGTACAATACAGTAAAACAGGGGGAACTACAGAGAACATGATCCTTCCATTTCAGTGCAGACGACATGACAAAATAACTGTTAAGCACTTTTAAATCTGAATTCTTTCTGTTTTGACCGTAATGATTCACAGTAAAACTAAAACTTAAAAAGGAAAAGTTAGTATTTCTACAACTATATAAATATGTTTCAAAATAAGTTAAAAAATCATATACATTGCAAAAATCAAAGCTACATTTGGTACTTTGGTTTAAAAAGTTGAAATGACTTGAAGCTCAAAGCAAATGGTTTGAACTTGACTTGGACTTATGGGACAGTGACTCGAGACTCAACTTGGACTTGCCTGCATTTGACTCAGACTTGAGGTCAAAGACTTTAGACTTGCAAAACGACAACTTGGTCCCACCTCTGCTTTAATATAATGATGTTACACAGGGACACACAATATGGTCTCTCATTGCCTCTCAGCTGATTCCACATTTTCCCATATTTATGTTAAACACTAACTTTCTCTCCCTCTGCGACCTTATGCAAGCTTCCAAACAAGTTGTGCGGTGCGGTGGCGTTCCCAGGCAGCTGTTGCAAACGGCTGGTAAAATAGAAAGAAGAGGAAGTGAGACGAGAGGGTCCCTAGGTGTGTGACCACCTGCTGAAAACGTGATTGTTGGGGGCAGCTGCCGCGCTCAGTGTCTGTACATAGTCACACACTAATCGGCTGTTTCGCTGATGTGAGACTGGTGCCGCTGTTAAAGACCAGAGCAGTCTCGAGCAGTGAAGTAATGGGATTCCACCACTACACCACAACAATGTTATGTAAAGATGAGAAATATGAGTCATGTTAGTATTCAGATACATTTAGGGCTGCAACCATCCATTATTTTAGATGTGTATTAACTTTTTGATTAGAAGTCCAGCCAATCAAGTTCTATTGTTGCTTTGAGATTTTGATAGAAATTGAAAACCTGATTGAGGTTCGACTATAGCGTTTAGGCTGTTAAAATCGTAGGTAAGCCTCCGTTGGTAATTTGCACTGCGTCGTGTGTTATTGCAAGGATTTGTTTTATGGTACCACGTGTTGCGAATAGGCTCGTCCATGTGTGTATGCGTGTTGTGTGATTGTTGTGTTAAACTGTTGTTATTGTGTGGTGCTGCTCAAATGAACAGCCCCTGGGGGATAATTAAAGTCTTCAGAACTGAAATGAAGCAAGGTCAAAATTATACCGACTGATGAACTCTTGATAGAGAATAAATAACATTATGGAGTATTTTTTCACCCAAATCATAACATTTATATTATTTTTGAATCTAATAAATAATAAATTCAGTATTTAATTTCACTTACTGTCATGATTGTTGAAATGTAAAACAAAATATAGATCAGCTCACGTCTAAACAATCCAGTAAATCTTTTCACAGACAATAGAGGGTGAGTGCAAACACGTAAAATCAGATTTTTGGATCATCTTTCTTCATGTTGCATCATGTTATCATATTCAAAGTAATCACCAGGGAAGAGCTGGTTGTTAGCAAACTACCACCGTGTTACAACATATGAAATACAAAAAAGGCAAAAAAGACAGTGTGTAGGGCTTGAGTTATGGAGTTTACAGCAAATTACATTCGGCAACGATCCATTAGATTTGTTTACAGTTGCAAATCTAAGATGATTACTCTATAAATTCTGTATTTTGCGCATTAAACATTATCAAACATATAATATAACTTTTGGCTGCTTTATAGTTTGAGACACAATTTCATCATAATTTCTCAGATTATTACAAATTATAAAACAGTATATATCAGGCTAATTAATTGAATGAATATAGGTGATTTTCTGTGAAGAGGAAGAAGAGTAGACAGTTAAAAGTGGCACAAATTGCTTGAAACTAACGATTTATTTAATATTTTCAAATCTATTCACAAGCTCAACCCTCTAATGTATCAAAAACAGCTAAGGTTTCTGAAAACTTCTCAGACAATTGCACATAATAAAAGTATATAGGCGCATAAATTGAATGTAATATAATAGCCGTAGAGCACGAAGAGTGGAGTTAGCAGTAGCACAAACCACTATGACGTTAGCGGTCGGGGATGTGTGGGGTTTGGTGGAGAGAGAGGGACAGCTGACGGGGGGATGGGCCCACAGAAATAGACTCACGGAGAGATAAATAGTTTAGTGGCTCGAACTACCTCCGTCTCCCCTGTTCCTCCCTCCTGTCTCACCCATCGTCCCCCCGTCCCTCTCAGGTCTCCCGTGGTCCTGCCCAGCTTCACCTGTTTGTGGGCTGCATGTTGATACAGCGTGCAGGGCGGCCATTTGAGACAACATGAAATCTACTGCAAAGTCAAGGGCCAAGGGTGTCCATTATCAGTGATCACGATTTCTGGGATTGCTCAACTTGTGCCTCGTCTTACAGTGGGATGTATGATTCAGTATCGATCAAGAGTTTAAAGGCACGCAGGCACATTCACAAAACTCACAAAACAACAGAATGGTTCAACCTAGACAAAAGTAGGAGTAACACTTTATAATGATGATGAAGAATGAATGAAGAAAGACTTCATGAATGACTGAAGAAAGACATTCATAATGAACAGATTGTTTGCTAAGAATGATTCAGGCTCAGTTACTACTTAACTAACCAAACCTGTTTATTAGTCACTGAGCCTGAATCATTCTAAATAAACTACTTGTTCATTAACTCCTTCTTCATGCTTCAATCAGTCAATCAAACTTTATTTATAGAGCGCTATTCATACAAAAAAAAGCAACACAATGCGGTTTACAGTGCTTAAGGCTGTAAATAGATATAGTTATTACAGCGTTATAAAGTGTGGTAAAGTGAAGTCACCTTTTTCAGTGTAAACATTTTATGCTGTAAATTAAACATATCTTAAATTAAATGTATAAGGCACAATATTTTACTGAAACCTCCCAAACCATTCAAGTGTTATGGAACCATGTAGTCGACAGGAAGTCTAGATCTGGAGATGGTTCCAGACTGCTCCTCACAGGTTCTCCCAGCAGCAATGAAGCATTGATCAAATGCAGAGGAAACTATGGAATAATATTTTGGAAAAAAACAAATTGCTGTGATTGTGTGTGATTACATTTGCAAATAAGATTTTATAAAGCAAGATTCTATTCATGGTACTTGTGAAATTACTGACATATAAACTATTAAACTACTGGTAATAAAAGTATATTTCAGAACATGGTTTAGAGACAGTATGAGACACAATCAAAACAGCACATTCTGTTGCAGAAAACCCTTGTTATGTTGCTAATTGTAAACAATCAAACTGATTAGGTTATGGCGTGTTTTACAGCTGTACTGTATTTTAATATGTCTTCTGTCTGTTTTGATGCAGTGCTGCAGTTGAGGATCCAGAACCGAAGGCAGAATGAGATCAATGCAGATCTGGGTGAGTGTTTGTGTCGTGCACTCTGCATTGAGCTCGTATCACATGAATAACGTGCGGACAGTTTGTCTCACTAACTAATCATTTCCCATTGATTACTAAATGTCATTCACATTTTTTACACTGACAGCTTCTAGTCCATTTATTGGTCTAATGGTGGTCATCTTCTCTACTGCTGCTGTGTTGTGCTGTCAAAACAATGAAATATCCATAAAATCTATAACCAACATGATCTATGCTTCAAACAACTGGCTCGATTGTAAACAATGCACCGGTGTTGTGGTTTTTCAACACATTTTAAACCTAAAGGTGCATTGTGTAACTTTTCTGCTTGTGTCCATAGAGATGTTATTGCTCTACAGTATAGCATTAAAAGATGTTGCATTTATTCACTTAGTTTTATTTATAAGTAAAAACAAACAAACAAACTTTCAAAACATCCTCTCTTACCATCACTGGGCTTTTGCCTCTCCACAGATCTGACCTGTAACTGGACCTGGTGGCTTCATCTGCTTATCTCTGTTGAGCTAGATAAGATTAATGCCCAATTTGGAAATATAAAGCAATAAACACAATAATATCTCCCTGAAAGCAAGCATGCTGTGAAACCTCTATCAGGAAAGTTACACGATGCAGCTTTAATGTGCCTTTTGGTCTAAACTGTGGTTAAATACTTCTCCAGCTGTATTTATTATTACTGCAGACCTTTGGAGACCTGCTTTATACTACATTAGGCTGTTAGTTTGAGATAATCAGATAACACTTTGGTACAACGTTTTTTGTGTTTTTACTATGGATTTGTTAACTATATGAGAACCCTGTAGGAAAAACACAGGCACACTTTTCTCAAATACAGTTTCTTATACAGGAAAATCTACCAGTCCATCTCAGAAAACAGAAGACGAAAAGAGTGAAGCTCTGGTATGCAAATTTTCTTTCCTACAATCCAGTAAAAATAGACTATTTGCTAAGAATAAATGAACACAAATAATCTAAGTAAACCCCTTTGCACATGTTATAGAAAAGTGTAGCAGCTGTACTGAGTGACTGTAATATGAACTGTGGGTTGTGCCTGTGGGACTGACTTGCTGTCCTCTGATGCAGCGTCTCTCTGATGACGGTGCCACTCAGAAGTTGCCCCCTAGTGGTGTGAACGCTGAAACTGCAAAAGGTGATGACCCGCCTTTAACACTGATGTCTGCATATCTCTCTTTGTGTGCGAGATCAGTTGAGTAAAACACTTTAGGCCACTGGTTCGATTCTGGTTTAATCCTGGGTTAGTCCAGGTTTAGTCCCAGTTTATACTTGATTCTGAAGTGATGTATGTTGGCGTATAAGTATGCACGCATCAATAGCCTTCACAACTATCTGCTTAAATATGTTAAACAGTTGTCAGTATGTTTCTAATCGACAAATAAACATAGAATTATGCAGCAGTTACCTAAAATATAAGTCTGTGATTTGTCTGCTGCCTAAATATTGACTTTGTAGTTATTTAAAAAAAAAAGCATAATTTAAATGTCCTATATTACATGAAATATAAGACTCTTGTGAGCTTTAAGACATGTTTGAACATTATTACCTCCTCAAAAACATACCATTTGTTTTGCTTTTTTTCATTCACACGTTTTAATAATCCTTTAATATTAGTTTGTTTACATCTCCAAAATTCAAAATGCTACGTTCCACCTTGTGATGTCATGAAGCGGTAGCCAGGCTGGCGTTACCTAGTGCCTCTGTGCAGTTTCATTTCTCTCCAGTTTGCAAGAACCCCCGGAAGTGCGAGTCCGGGCACCAGCCAATCAGTGAAGAGACATACATTCTGTGTTGGCAACGATTCCCGAGATCGAGGATTTAAAGCCGGAACAAAGAGAATGTTTGGTGAATTTTATCAAAGGGAAAGATGTTATTGCCCTTCTTCCTATGGGATTTGGGAAAAGCTTAATATACCAGTTAGCCTCGCTAAGCCGCGCATTTCATATGTCACAACCAAATAGCAGCGATGGTTAAATAAAGAAAGCACCTGCCTACCGTTGAGCGAACAAATCCTAATGCTGCGAGGTCAGACAGTTTCCACGAAGTAAAACCGGCTGATGAATCAGACTAATGAAGCTGTAGCTTTCAAGTCAATAACAATATTTTACCTTTAACTGAGTAGCAACTGGCAAAGGCTGATATTATCCAAATGATTCTAGTGAAGGTGCATGGAGTTTAAAAATACAGTGGAGCACTTCCTGTATTATCACATGACATTACAAGGTAGAACAAAGTGTTTTCTGTTTGAGAGAATAAGTCAGCCTAAATATGCAGGGTTTGTGTGTTAAACATGTGAATGAAACAAAAACACATCTCTGGGAACTCTGGGATGTTTTTGATGAGTAAACAGCATTATAATATAGATCAGATATAGTATAATATATGCTCTTTAAGTCTAAATACGATGTAGTCATAATGTAGATTTATTATTTATTATAAACTGGTACCTTTTATTTTGAAGAGACAAATTCATTGCTCAAAGAAACTAAACAGAGCATCCCTTTACTGTATCCGCATCTTGTAGACTAGGCTTCTGTAACATCACTTGTCAGTTATATCGACTGGTGACCTTGTTATACAGTGTTACAGCGGCGCCAGCAAACATATCAGTGATTGACAGCTCATGATAAACCCGCCCATTTGGGGATCAGACGCATCGTTTTCCCCCATTACTCACATGTCACTCTCTCTTCTCTCGTTATCTCTCCTACTTCCCCTCTGCACCTTGATCAAACATGACTTTTCCATTTGTATTCTTCTTATTATAATACCACCTTTTCAAATGGCTGATTCTCTCCGCCGTCTCCCAGTGCCCTTTAAATCCACCACTCTGATATGCGCGGGCCCGTAATTATGTGCATAAGGAGGACGCCATCTCCCAGGGTGCACCAGTGTTTACTATTTTTTGATTCGTCTGCTTGTCTGAACTTTGACTAATAGCCTATGGGCGAAGCTGTGTGCATGCTCACCTCACATATGTTGAGAATCCTGTTGCTCTGGCCCCCCCCTCCTCTCTCTCCCGATCTCCCATCTGCCGCCCTCCTCGTGTTGATTGGTGCTGACTTTCTGCTCTGCTGCCCCCTACAGAGAGGAGTGTGTGTGGGACCCACCGGCACAAGAAGGCGCGGCAGGCTCCAGAGCTTGCTGAGAGAGTCCCACGTTTGTCTAGTACCACCGAGCAGCAGCAGGACCACCGGCTCCCCCTAGAGAACCGTGAGTGAACAGGCACGCGCACACATTTTTCTATTTTCCCTCTCAATCTCTCTGTGACCTTACCTTCCTTCACTTTCAATACCTTCAGTGAGGATGTCAGGATATCAAATTTTAGTGATTAGATTACTGTGAGAAAAACAACACGATATAAGGATTATTCATGATTCTTCACATCACTGACCAAACCACAGGGGGATATTTAAAGGCCCTATATAATTATGCAAAATCCACTCTTGTGAGCTTTTATACTGAGCCATGTTGTAATGTTGTTACCTCCTCGAAAACCTTTTACCTTTTGTTCAGTGGAGATGAGGGCAATTCCAGAGCTGAAACTATCCCAATGATTTTAGTGGAGGTGTAAGTTTAAGAACACAGTGGAGCACTTCCTGTATTACTACATGACACCACAAGACAGGACAGAGTGTTTTGTGTTTGAGAGATGAACACAGCCTAAATATGCAATTTTTGTGTCTTAGACAAACATGTATGAGTGAAACAAAACACAACCATATGTTTTGATGGGGAAACAACATTATAACAGATCAGAAAATAGCATAATATACTGTAGGTCAGTGTTTCCCAAAGACTGAGATCACAAGAGATTTTTGTAGGTCGTCTTGTCACGATCTGCATGTAGGTCTGCGCTATACAGGACTATATTTAATGTGACTTATGGGTCCTTTTATTGCTGGTTCAGTTAGTGTTTTTCATTGTTTAAAACTTAAGTCATACTAATTGTTCAGAGAGACACGATCACTCATTCAACTATAAAATCTCCTCATTAATGTTCAATAATGGTCTGACTTGGATCGTGAAGGTTTGCGACTTTTAAAATATGGGTCCCCAGAAAAAAAGTTTGGGAAACACTGTCGTAGGTCATTTAATTTTCTTTCTAGAGCACTAGTCATCAAACTAATGCTCGTGGACTGACTTCGGCCCTCCATGCCCCTTTGACCTGCCCCACCAGCCCCTCTGTCCCCCACCACTTGAACTGGTTCTCAAAAGTTGTTGGCTTATTACTTTCAGCAAATAATAACACATCTGCATGTTGTATTTTGTTGATTTTTTTGCTGCCAAACCTGAGAAGCTTGAAATCAAATCAAACAGTTAAGGACAGCAAAATGGCGAGTGTTAATGTACAAAAACTTGACAGAGAGTGCAGAGTTTTCAAAGAACAGTGCACGACCGATTATTTTTTTGTTCAGTGTAGAGACCATGCAGTTTGTCTGATATGTAAAGAAAGTGCGGCGGTTTTCAAAGAATATAATCTGCAGGATCTCCAGGAGCAACAATGTGGCCCCCAGAGAGAAAAAAAGTTTAGTGACCCCTGTGGCAGAGTTTAAGACCTGGTTTACTATATCAAACTTTCTGAAGGATAAAGTAAAGTTGAGGTCTCTTAAGCTAATAATATTGTAATAATCTTGACATCCTTAATCCTCAGGTAACGCTTGCTTCACCCTGCCCTCCGATGTCTTCGAAGATGACATCTCCTCTTGCTCCTCCTCCTGCTCGCCCACGGAGCAGCACGGCACCCACCAATCAGCAGCCTTCCCCTCGTTACCGCTGCTTTCGGGTGAACAGTTACTAAGTGACTTCTCTGCCGCGGGCGCACAGCTGCACCACAGCCCGGGTCACACTCAGGTGAGGGGGCATGCCACTCTAGTCGATACAACTGGGGTGAAGGAGAACGAGCTGAAGTGGAATTAACTAAGAGAGACAGAGCAAACAGGTGCCATATTAGTGTTGTCACGATACAAACATTTCTAATCAATTTCGATGAGGATTAGACTCGATACTCAATACTGATTCCTCAGTGACCATAAAAAACACTCTTTAGACAACCAAATGTAATTTTAAAGGGACAGTCCGGGATTTTGGACATTGGACCTCATTTCCTCGTTAGCCAGAGTGTTGGAGACGTGTGGAGACACTTTTTAAATATTCCATCCAGTCCTTGTATTTCCAGAGGTCGCTGGTGCTAGGCTAGTGCCTGTCAATGGCCATAGTTATCTTGCCACTAAAAACAGTCTTACCCACTCCACAAAGCACCCGAAGAAAATCTATTATTATGCCAGACTGTTGATGTAAATGTCTGTGTTGACAGAATAATGTTTGAAATAAAACTATCCTTGCATTGCATGAATCATCGCACGTTGAGGGACTATTTTCTCATATATCAGTCCACCGCTGCCAAGCTTTTTATCAGGAAGTACAACTCACTGCTGCTGCTAGGACATAAATCCTTCAAATGCAAGGTTGGTTTCACTTCTAAAATAATTTTATTGGCATCGACAGTCTGGCGTAATAATAGATTTGCTTTGGGTGCTTTGTGGAGTGGGTAAGACTGTTTTTAGTGGCAGCCTAACTATGGCCATTGACATGCACTAGCCTACCACCAGCGACCTCTGCAAATACAAGGATTGGATGGAATATTTTAAAAAGTGTCTCCACATGTCTCCAACACTCTGACTAACCAGGAAATGAGGTCCTATGTCCAAAATTCCAGACTGTACCTTTCGATATTGAATCATAGTACTATCATGTGGTCCTACATCTGTGTCCAGGTACTTTCTATAGTCATCCATGTGCATATACCAGTCTATGTGGTCTTGTTCTGAATCAGCTTATGAATCATTCTAAAGCGATTCAGGAAAGGTATACCTATGACAGTTTTAGTATTGATACCTGCTTAAATGAGTAGCTACAGTAGTTTCTTTTTAACATATTGATTACAATTGATTTTTAATACTTTTGACAGATCTATGCCATATAAATATATTTTACAACAAATACAGTGAATTTTTGGCTCCTTGGTCACTATGACAATGGTTTTCCAAATGTTATAGGTGCATTGTGTAACTTTTCTGGTGGAGCGTCTACCTCCAGCCTGTCTTCATGGAAATGTTATTGCTTTGCCTAGAATGTTCTACACTATGGCATTAAACCTATCTATCACCATGAAAACCAGCATCTCCAGACAAAGTTACTGGTTACAGTTAGATCTGCGGAGAGGCAAGCCCAGTCAGAATGCATGTCTTTCAATGATTTTAGAATAGAATAGAACAGAAAGCCTTTATTGTCATTATACAGTATAATGAAATTCAGAGCTACTCTGTCAAGTGCAAGAATTAAACAAAATAAATAAAACTAATTAACAGTGTAATAATGATTCAGTGAGAACTGTTAATTTTAACCATAAACACCTTAAAATATATCACTCATTTTACCAGATTTGGCATCTTTTGTCCTAACAACATGAAAATTGGCACTGCACACACCCATGTCATTAGGACAACACCCTCCAAATTTGAAATCGACAAGAGTTGCGCGTACAACAAACAAACAAACAGACACACAGACAGACGTTCCTTGAATTAATGGATAGTTAAAACTAGTTTAATAATAACATATTAATAATATTCCTGGCAAACATGCAGGTAAAAGACCACATCTGAAAAAGCCACACATTCAAGCAAAACCACTGAATTTTAGCACCTATTAAAGAAAAAAAAATAAATAAATAAAAAATAACAACAACAACACTGTGGGAGTAAAATGTTGCTAGCCAATTTGTAAACTAATATATTCTTGTGCCAGTGTTGTGCAGTTGGCTGGGCATGAATGAGCCTTATTTATTTATCCTTGTGTAAATGGGACATCTTTATCTTTGAGTCATTCTGTCTAATACAAAGATATTAATTCAATTGCATAACATTAACCTGATTTACTAAACGCTCTTGCATCATCCTGTTTCCTTCCCTACAGTCTGGCTTGGCGTTGCTCCCGGCAACCGAGGGCATCCGACATCCTCTGAGCGTTACAGTGTGTGAACCTGGCGCCATGGCAACAAGTGTCCGACCAAGTGGGCTGTACCTCCCCTCAGCGACCATGCCCCTGCTGCCAAAGGTGAGCTCAGGCCACTGCTCGCTAATAGTGTCGCACTCGAAGGAAAGTGCTCACATTTCTGCCTCATTAAAATTGTATAAAGCTCTGTGAATATGAAAATGGTAATGGCTTTTATGGGTCCTCTTCATTGTTCTCATCAGTGAGTGTTTTGTCTTAACAGCAAGTACATAGGTTTAGGTTAAAGAAGACATTAGAAGCTTTTTGGGGGGCATTTAGTATTAAGCTATAATGTAATATAGATCATTACTTTACATTTTACTGAACAAAAACGGCTTAATAATAGAAATGAGCGACTTCTTGTTCAAAACGGCAGAACTGAGACGAGGCATTTCACCATAACAAGCAGTGATTTTCAAATCCACGTTTTTATTCATGACAAATGGTTACGTAACATTTTTTAGCTCTACATATATGACTTAAGAATGATTTTTCAATAAGTTAAATAATAATGTGTCTTTTATATAAACAAATAGTAATACGATTTGTTAATAGATTGTTTTCTGTTCGTTAAAACATTAATACACAGATTTCTTGTAAACAACTAATGTTAAGTTAATGATCAAAGAACTATTAACTTGTACCGAATAGATATTTTAGGAACAATTCATAAATATTAAAAAAAGGTTAGGTAATGATTAGTTTGATGTTTATTGTGGCACTTTATTATTAAGTGATACCTAATTTTTATTTTATTTTTTTAAAATCAATTGCAAGTTAGTACAGAGCAGTTGGTGGGATCCAGAATGCACACTTCAAAACTTTACAAAGACGTGAGGATCGTCACTGGTGAATCGCCCCTTTTTCACATGGACATGACTGACAGCTGAATTAGTCAATCAAGGACACTCATGGTCCATCCATATTAACCAGTAATCATTTTGGATATGACAGGCAAACAGAGCAGTGAGTGGAGACAGAGGTTAGGTGAAAACTGATTTTTTTTTCTATGCAATCGAGCCTCAAATGCAAGATGATACAGGATTTCTAAAACATGCATCATTAGAAAATAAAACTGAGAGTAAACTAATGAAGAAGAAATACAAGTGAGCACAGTCAAAAGCTCATAAGTGGGATTTTGCACATGTCTCCTTCAACTCTTTAACCTTGTGTGAAGAGTTTTCACCTGTTTAGTCCAATGCAAAGCTCTGTCTAAGCTGCTCTGCATTCATTACTGTCAATGTGCACGAGTGGAGTGGCCTGTAGGTCAACACATTCACACGCAGCTGCACGCCTCTGTGTCGGAGCTAGAATACTCCTTTTGTAGGTTTCATGTCACGTTTAACCCTGATACGGGCCAACTACTGTCAAACCGCATGATATTTTACACGATAGAGAAAAGGTTTCAGCCTGAAATCTTTGTTCACAGGCAGCACGGCCGTCCAGTCCAACCTGCACCTCCGCTCTGCCCTCCCTCGACTTAAACCAGATGCCCCGTCCACGGAAACAGCGGGACACCAAACCCAAAATGAAGAAGCTGAAATATCATCAATACATTCCTCCGGACCAAAGAGGAACATCTGGGACAACAGGTACCTCACCAACACGCCAATCACACCACATGCTTTCACTGATACTGGGGATTGGACCTCTCAATAAAAAACAATAAAACAATATAACTGATGTTTGCAAATGGTTCCATTTCACATCTCAAATATAAAAACATGTAGGATTTTAGGCTTGCCACTTGTTTGCTCTAATATATTGTGTGTATTTCCAGGGGCAGGAGCCAAACAGAAGAGCCCTCCCTCGACCCCGGCGTTAGACCCGGCCTATTCCCATTTAGTGAAACAGCAGCAGGTTTTCCTCCAACTGCAAATCCTCCAAAACCAACAACAACAACAGCAGCAGATCACAGTGGTGCCCAGGTTTGTACAACTCGCTCTGAAACAACAGTAACACACAGATGTTACGCCAAACAAACTCTGTGGGATTATTTGTGCATTAGAAACAGTGTAAATATCATCTATTAGATCAGTGGGATGGATATTTACATATATAATGTTTTCTCCAGTGGAGATGCTGGTGATCAGGTGAAGTCATCTGGAGCTCTGCCACTGAACCCACAGCCGGTCCCTGCCACCACAAACCAGCCCCCTGCAGACCCCAAACCTGTGGCTAAGCCTGAGCTGCTGCCTGCTAACCTGGTGGACCTGACGGTGAGCTTCTCTAAATGTGCACGGACAGATGGTTCTCTTCATCCTGGTACTTAACCTGTGCTCTTCTTTAGGTGTCCGAGCTCCGACAGCAGCTGCGTAAGCGCGGCCTCCCAGTGTCTGGCACAAAGCCTGCTCTTTTGCAGAGACTCAGGCCCTTCCAGCTGCCCCAGCCGTGTGTGGGCCCCACCCCCCTCTGCCAGCTGGGCATCGCCACGGAGACACTGTCCACGTCTCTCAGTCCAAACCAGAGCCCCATCTCCAGTGCCAGCTCTGGATCCGACTCTCCCAGCCAGTGCCCAAGTAAACACATTTACATCCACAACCGCAAAATTCCTAATGGGATTGTGAGCGACGCTCCTGGTGGGATCCTGAGCGATATCCCTAATGCTTTTACAAATGCCACTTCAGTCAGTCTGGCAGGTGAGCCCTGCACCGTGTTCTTGGCTCCTGCCAGCACTGCCTCAGGGACCCCCAGTCCCAGTCTGCCTATGTCATCGTCCTCACCCCTGCAGTGCGGGACCCCCTGGAGGACAGAGACTGAACAGCAGCAGCAGCAGCGAGAGGAGCTGAGCGTGGAGCTGGAGATGAGGGAGCGCATGAAGAGCAGGCCCAGAGACCATTTAAACAACTCCAGCGAGGTGAATACTCCTCCTGTAATGATGTGCTTATACTACAAAATAAAGAACTAATCCTAAGAGAAAGACTAGGGTTTAAGTTTTTCTCATTAGAATCAGTCAAACACATAAGTCAAAACTCTTTTTATTTCACACAGCTGTCACGTGGGGGCGCTCTACATCCTTTCTTGCAACAGGACTCAGGATGCTTGACAGAAAAGCCCAGAAGTGAAGCAGAGTTGTTTACACAGGTAAGAATCATACTGGCAATACATATAAAAAGGAATTGGCGACTCACTTTACAATATGTTCAAACACAAGTCCTCTCATTTGTACACAGCTTTACTGCTGCCAGCCGTGCGACGTGATTGGTCAGGATTTTGAGTTGCCTGTGCAGATCACAGCGAGCCCAGCGCAGTCGTCGCCCACAGTGCGAAGTTTAGAAGAGGAGCTCCAGGAGGCCATTCAGAAAGCACAGGTCAGACTCAGCTCAAGAGCAGCATGAGACGTGCTTTTGTTCAGTGAGTGAGTGGGTTTGTGTTGTCATTATACAGATGGACCCTTGCCAGTCAATAGACGACATACTGGATGAGCCAATCTCCTGCAATGGTGAGTATCAGGATAACAAGCTGAAATATGACTTTTATTTGTTATGGTGTTTCATCTTTTTCACATATTTTGTCATGTAGACTCTGTTGCTGTATGCGATGGCAAACCTTCGTCAGACACTGCCCCCAGCCACTCTCCTCTTCCTCAGAGCGATCAGCTGCAGCCCAAAGATGACAGCTTCCTCCCCTCTCCTCTCTGCTCCTCTTTGCTGTTGGAGATGCCCCCTTCTCCAGCTGTGATATCTCAGGCTCAGGTAGTCCCCGCTCCTCCCCCACCCCCCCTCTGCACCTCGCCACTGCCTTCAAACAGAAAGTCACGAAAGCGGCGTGCTCCTCCTCCCTTCGACGCAGCCGAGTGGCTGGAGACGCTCACTTGCGGCCTGCTGACTCCACCCACTGCTCCATTTGTAGAGCCCGACTTCAGCCTGGACTCGGACCTGAACGTCAATCGGGTGCTGGATCTGATGATCGAGCAGTGGTGAATGTGTGTGAAGAACACTGATATAAACATCTCAACAAGAAAACACTGTTATCGATCTCATCTAACCACAGCTGAGAGCTCCTCACCGGCTCCACGCAACGTCGAGAGCCACTACACGAGCCCTCAGCTCAGTGATGGACTGTCTCTGCACACAGACATTACCATGCATTCTTTAAAGCACTTGGACTCCATCAGAAATGACAGCACATCTCTGTGCTGCTGATTTAATATAAAACCAATGTTTACAGTAAAAACTATGGAACATCTGAACCATAGAAATCAAACATGAAACTCTTATGAGCCATAAGAGTCAAATGTAAGAAACCTGAACCATAATACAAATGTGCCTTTGGCAGCTCTGGAGATGGTTGTTTCTGACTCATCTCCAGAGCTGTTTGACTGCAGCGAGTGTCGACTCTGTGTGACTCACTCATTCATAAAGACTGTTACAGTGTGGGTAATTTGCTCAGCCCTGACCCCAGAGCCAGACGCACAGTCGGCCCACAGGGGGGCGCTGGCACGAGCTGCACATACTCTGCTGTTTGTGTGAGTCAACACACAGTGTATTGTCTCCATCTCTGCCAAACGCTCTGGTCCAGTCCGTTTTCCTCTGTCGGAGTGTCAGTCATTGAGCCGAGCTCACAGAGCTCACAGGCTCGACTCAGTTAAGTCCAGATTTTTGACATTCTATTTTAGCCCCGAACCCAGCGAGCGCCGCTGGACAATTTTACCCCAAGTAATCAGAACCTCCACATTATTATTACCTTGTTCAAGTCACTGTTCTCCAGCAAAGAAATCAACCATTCTCAAAATAGTTCCAGTTGTGCCAATGCTCCAATCAGACCAATGTGACTTACTAAATACATGTTTTTCCCTTTGATTTTGTACCAACCGAGCCTGGCTTTCCATTCAACAACACCAAAGTACAATGTCAGCCAAATGAAGGACAAAGTGGTCCAGGTTGTAGAAAAACTTTTGTTTTTGTTAGAAAGTTTGCCTCATTCTGACTAATCCTGGCTTTTCAAATGCATAAATGTCTTAGTGCGATTGGTAGCTCAGTAAATCAGACTTTTTGAGCCAAAACTATATTCCCTGATTATCCCATATGCGTCACGTAAATAGCTCTCTTTGAATGGACCAAGTACAGCCCTGTTTGCCACATGGAAAGTTCAGAAATGGCAAAAATGTTAAGTGAAATTTTAATATAATATATTATATAATTTGTCTTTGATTTGATTTTGAATTTCAAAAACTCTACACTGCTTATGAGGAGGGGCCAAGAACTGAGGAGGAAGGAAGATTGATACGTATTTCCACACATAAAGATGATGGATGAATTAAATTGTTACACGGCACTTTTTATCAGTGCAATGGTAACTTTTATTATTTAAATGATCTTATCTAATATTTATTTTCCTCTTATTTTGATGTATTTGAGCAATTTGATTTCGGTTAAAGCTTCCTCCGGACTCATTTTGATTATTGAAGAGCTGTTCTAGTACAGTCCTATGTGTTTTAACTGTATGTCATTTCAAACACTGTTTTTGCGCGCAATATCATGTGACCTCTATGCTGCAGGGTTTTATCTGTTTAAAGGTACACTGCGTAACATGCCACCTGCTTGTTTCCATACAGATGTTACTGCTGTGCCAGAAATGCTCCACAGTATGGGATTATGTTGGAGGCAAAGCAGTTAGTGCTCTCGCCTCACAGCAAGAAGGTCCTGGGTTTGATTCTGGGGTGGTGCGGGGCCTTTCTATGTGGAGTTTGCATTGCCTTTGTTTTCCCCTAGCACTAAAAACATGCACACTACAGTCGCTTGTGGACCAGGACTCCCTAGAAAAAGATATTCTTAATCTTAGTGGGACTATCCTGGATAAACAAAGGTCAAATAAAATAAAAAATGAGGCTTATCTATATTCATGGAGACAAGCAGGGGAAACCAGCAGGCCAAGGTACAGGTCTGATCTGTAAGAATGTATTGTTTTTCCAAGGTATTTTAATGTAAGATAAGTACTGTATTACAAAACAAAGCAACACTATCTCCATGGAGACAAGCAGATGGGACTGTGTAACAAAAAAGTTCCACAGCGTACGTTTAAGTAGCTGTCCAAATGTGACCTGAAGGAGAAGGCACGGTTTGCACTGCAGCTGTATAACAACGCTTTGACCACAATAATATCAGAAAAGTACACCAGCATGCGGACGGGTTGCTGTGAAAATCATAGTGATCAATAAGCAGTTTGGTGCATAAAAAGAGAGTGGGGCGGGAGAGTAAGATGCTACCTCCTGTGTCTTCCATTGCTTCTGTGTTTTCTGTCGTCTCTCTTGTTCATTTCCACTGCGACAGACGTCCAGCTGTAGCCTGAAGGCCCATGCTGTTTCCTTGTGTTGGACTAGTTAAACACTGGTTAATAGGTTGAGCTCACAGCATTACAAAATTCAATGTCATTATTTCAGATGGAGGGAAAGAGCCGTTACAACTTTATGGGCGAATCACTGTTACTGAAAGAAAAAAAATCCCCATATATTATCATTTCTGCCAGTGAAAAGGTCCACAAATCTGTCACAGTAAAGGGCCCATAATACTTTATTTTCTGATCTATGTTATAATGTTTCCACGTCGAAAACATACCTGGAGTTGTGTTTTGTTTCATTTCCACATGTTTAACAGCTCTCTCAAACTGAAAACTGTCTGATCCACCTCGTGATGTCATGTAGTAATTTGAGAAATGTCCCACTGTTTTTAAACTCCATACACCTTCACTAGAATTATTTGGATAATTTTAGAATTGGAATTTGAACAAAAGGTAAAAGGTAGCTGTATGAAAACTACAACTTCATGACATCACATGTTAATTTGGAACAGAGCATTTAGAGTTTGGAAATGCAGGATTACTCAAACGTGTGAATGTACCAACACACAACTCCAGTTTTTGAGGAGACAACAGCATTCAATCAGTTTTGGATAATATAAAACCTTTAATATTGCCTTTTTTTACTGACAGTACATGTACCTGTTTTGTTTATTTATTTATTTCAGACACAAATATTATCCGGTCTATAGTTTAAAAGACAAAACCGGATACAAAAAACATACAAGACACCCAAATTAGTCCATAAAGTTAATCAAAAAATGTAGAGTTTCTCTGGCCAGTGCCTTCTTGGAGCAGAAGTGTTTGAATAATGCAACCACGTTTTAATATTACAGCAAAAACTATAACTTATTACAAGTTTTATCATTGACTTCTGACTTGCCCAGCGAAAATGTATGGGCACTTTTTTATATTAGGATGTCAGATTTGTTGACCTGGTTTATTTTTAATATGGGTGTAATTACTGGGCCTATAACCATGAAACAAAAACCGTCATTAAGCTCAGTTGAATAAGATGGATTTTTAAAGATTAATATCAAAACAGTGAATCACCCATAAACTTATGTATAGGCTCCTGCACTGAAATCGAATTAAAAGTGTTGTGAATGCGTCCTTACATTTCCAGGCATATTTATTTAGACTTCATATAGAAACACAGGGTCAAACACAACTGAGACTCTGTGGGCCACTTTGCTGCTATACATGCCTTTTTGTGTTTATTTATAATGTAACTTATTCGTGCCCAAGGTAACAGCCCTGTAAATGATGTAAAGCAAAAAGAAAATTAAAGTCTTAATAGATTTTCAGCGTGTCTTCTTCCTTGTTCTGTCGAGTAATGAGCTAAGTGATATGTTTAAAGCATGATGGTTTAAAAATCAACTGCCAATTATATTCACATTCACAAGAAACTGTTTCAAATGATTTCCCATTAAATATTGATGATTCGAGATTAAATTAAAAATTCATTCAAACCAATAGAGTTTCAAATATCAAAGAGACATTTCTATCTGTCCAGCGGGTCCAAAAGTACTGAGGCCATACAGTGATCTATGTTATAATGTTTAGTGATCACAAACAGACCTGCAGTGGTGTTTTGTTTCATTCACACATAAATTCCTCTTAATCTGAAAACACGCTGTTCCACTTTGTGACATCATGCTGTAATACAGGAAGTGCTCCACTGTGATTTTAAGCTCCATACATGTTCACTAGAATCATTTGAGTAATTTCAGCAACAAACAAAAGGTGAAACATAGCTAACTTGAAAAACTACCCAAACTACCACTTCATGACATCACAAGGTGGAAATGAGCATTTTGAGTTCAAAGATAATAAATAACTAATAATAAAGGATTACTCAAGCATGCATGAATGAAACAAAACACAACTCCATATATGAGGATGGAGGATATATTTTGAAGAGGTATCAACTGGCACCACTTAGTGCCTCTGCTCAATTTCATTTCTCTCCCCGGAAGTTGTAGACCATGCACCGGCCAATCAGCAAAGAGCTGTGAAGCCATGGCATCAAACTCAAGCGCCTGTCTGGGTCCCTTTTGTGGTACAGCACAACAGTAAACAAAGATGGATGTAGATGAAACCATACATTCTGTGTTGGCAACGATTCCTGAGATCGAGGATTTAAAGCCAGAACAAAGAGAATGTTTGGTGAATTTTAGAAGACATTATTGCCCTTCTTCCTACAGGATTTGGCGCATTACATATGTCAAACAGCACAGATTGGTTAAATAAAAAAAAAACCTGCCTATCATTGAGCAAATGAATCCGAATGCTGCAAGGTCAGATGGTTTCCACAAACTGAAACTGGCTGATGAATCAGGGTAGGTAACAACATTCTAGCGGGGCTAAAAGCTCACAAGAGTCAATTACCTGATTTCAGACCAGGAATCAGGAACATGTTTTAATTTGAACTTTTAGTCTCACCAATTTACTCCTTTCTGCCACTGTGATGTTGCGCATGACACAGAAATAACTGTGTCAAGTGTCTGAGATAGTGTCGTGCACTTGGCTTCCCATAATTCTTAGTAACAATGAGCCTAAGTGGATGAAAAAAGCAACCCTGTTCAGTCTGTGTTAGTTAATACCTGAGAAAATGCTCAAAATG